GCTTTACCGTTGGGTCATTGAATCAAAAGAAATCTATGTAGTTTATACAAGTCAAAATGAAAATCGCTATGTTCATGAATATTAATATCTGAAAATGTCGAAAATTACTATAGAACATTTAAAAGTTTAATTTATCGCATGATGAATATCTGAAATCAATACAAATAATAATATATTTCAACATGGCCTGAAAAGATTTTTAATAAATATTACCATGTAAATCTATTAGTTGAGTGACGGATCAATATTATCGAAAAAATTGAAATATGCGTAGAAATTTTTGTATAAAAATTTTAATGTCGATCTGTCCTTCAATTACCATATTTACATAGTTATTTTTATTAAAAAATTCTCTCTCTCTCTCTCTCTCTGGTTTTAGATGAGATGAATAAAAATGGAAAAAATTGATTTTCTATCAGAATATGAAATGGAATATGAAAAATAGGATCTCAGTATTTTTTTCCTTTCATTTTTAATTAAATATATTCACTACATACGTTTAATATTTCCCATAGTTATATTAAGGTCGGCACGGTTATCAAAATATCAATATAATAAGTACACTTGAATGTATTTTATCAACAATTTTGAGAATGTTTGATAAAAGTAAAAACAGACAACATTAAATAGAGAAAGTAAATTATTCACTTAGTTAAAATAACTTGAACAAAGTCAATAATTGCTTCAATTAATTGTTGTAATACTTGATTTAAGTGAATTCATTGACTAACTATCTAAAACTTCATTATCAAGTCAATAATTGTTTGATACAAAATAATTATTGACTTAAGTCTAGATCAATAACATATTCATTTGACGCAAGGAAATGTCTCTTGATGCTATCGATTTTTATTTTACACCTCAACTATTCTTCATTAATTGTCCTCCAAAATACACATTGATCACCAACAAAGATTGCAATGCAAATTCCGAGAAAAATAATGGTGTAGAAAAAACTTTGTAAAAATTACCATCAATATCGTAATCATAAATTATCTCGAGAAAAAAAGTAAGATTTATGATAATACCAAAGAATTTTGATAATAAATCAGTAAATACTGATGTCAACGCCATAGGAATTACTGTGTCTTCTTAAATATGTCAGAAACATAAAATTCACTAGCTTAACTGGAACTTTTCTTAATTAAATTTTGAAATTGACTGAAAAAATAATATACTGCACATTTACCAAGATAAAATTTTATTTTCTAACATATATTACATTTAAAATGGCTTATCAGTGAATGAAAATAAAATGATCGTACTTTTTTATAATCAATTTATCATAAAAATTTTTGACAAAGTATTGGAGGAATAATTAGGTGACAAAAGCGAATCGAGATGACCACATCATTTAAGTGGACACTTAATCTTCTTAAATAGTTGTGGTAATTTTGGTTTAAAAATAGTAGGTCAATTAATGAGTTTAAAGTGAAACTTAAAAGTCAGATAGAACATGTAGGGATTGCGTTAATAGACCAATTGGTCATGAACTAATCTCCGGAAATTGAATCTGAGTCATGAGATACAATGTCGAGAGGTAGAGATCTGGTACTTGGCAGTTAATTGTGCGAATGTGAAGAGAAACAAAGAGCGATAAAGGCTTCCAAGAGGTGGAGTTTGAAAGTAAGCATTAGTCTAGATTTTTAGGAAGCATTTAAATGCTATAGGGTGCGGCTAAGAAGCGAATTTCCACGCATCCTCGCTGGAGGTGGACGAGATTTGTTCCTAGGTGGTGGGGAGCTTGATCGATTTCTTACCCTGTGCCCCAGTAAACGTCCGCACCCTCTCCATCTCTGGTGCCCCCATGTCGACATTCTATGTTGCCATTTCGGCTATCGTTCGGTACGAACAAAACACATTTTCTTGTTTACGACTTCTTTGTCCTTTTCCATATTTCTTCCTTGCTCTTTATTCTTCATTACCTTTCTCATACAAAATCGCTTTGGAATACCTACATACTTTCCTTTTATTTCAGTGCAATTGGCTAAATAAATTACTTTCTGTTGTTGCTCGGAATTGATAAACTTTTCTCAAAATTCTTTCGTCTGCAAAACAAGATTATCGATAAAACTATTTGAATATCAGAGAGAATAGTATTTGCCTAATTTCTGTATTTGTTGAAGCTGTTAAATGTTGGAGATAATTTTGTAAAAAATATTTCAAGGAAGGTAGAAATATATTTATATCTTTAGAATGATATGACTGGTTTTAATTTCCTGTCACCATCCGACGTGAAATTTTTTGCATTAAATTTCAGTACGAGACAAAGCCGAAAATGATTATAAAAATGCAGCGTTTGCATCTTACTTCCTCTTTCATCTATCTAGCCTTTGCCTTGTGATTAAAATTTCTAAAAGAGATTTAATATAGTTTAATACATACTTATTTTCATTCATTTTTAATAAATGCATTTAAATATCATCCCATTTTATAAATAAAATCTAAAAATTTCTGTGATTTTTAAAATGCTCTCTTTTTGAAAAATAATTGGACTTTGACAAGTCACGTACCTTTCTAAAGTTTGTTTTCTATCTTTTTTTATGTAGGATCTATTCAATAAAAAATGAAAAAAACCTTTCCTATGCAGTAATAATGTTTAAGAAAGTTAAAATAAACTTCAGTAAATGTATTTTGAAAGAAAATGTTTCGAGTAAGTTTTCCTTTTCTTCTAATTTATAAGAAATTATAATATCTGTTATGAATTTTTATTTTTTATAAAATTTTTGTAAATGAAAACCTAAAAAAGTAAAACAAAATTATTATGCTAGTATTAGTATGAAAATAATTTGTAAAAAAAGTTATAAAATATAGTAGTGACAGAGAAATTTTAGTCGAATCGTCAATAAAGATCTAATGTTAAAGCTATTATTCTTCTTGATATCATACAGTAGTTACTCCTGAGAAATTTAACTCTTGTTGTAATTTAGCAAAAAGCAATCTCTTTCGTCGTAAATTTTCTTATTTTTCTCGTTGGTGAAGGAGAATTACAACTTGTAGAACTTACAAGTTGAGAATAAAGAAATAAAAACGATGTTTACACATTCTTACTTGAAAGAATAATCGGATTAACTTTTCTAGTATTTTCTGACTTAAAATACTATATCCAACTAAACTATATTGTAAGAAAATTACCAACTTCTTTTTTACACTTGCTAATTGAATAAGTCTTTTGTCAATATTTATATATTTCATTCATTCTTTCTAATTGTGTAATTCAAAATTAAATCACTTTTTTCCTATTGTAATCCAAACACTAGCTTATTATTGAAAAAAAAAGTTTCATTTCTTAAAAAAAAAAAAAAATATTCGATGCTTTATTAATGAATGAGCAGATCCATTTTTTTTAACATTTACCTCAATCCCTGCCACCAACAAAATTAAACCAGACAATAGCTACCCTTAGAAAATACGTTCCTCTTGTTCTTTTCAAGTCTATTCTTGCATTTTCCACACCATTGCCCCAAACTATATTCAAATTTTCTATTCACAACTAAATAACTATCGTTATCTATCAAATTTTTTTGTTCCCTAATTTCAACCATTTAATGTTTGTTTTTTTCTTAATTCTCATCACTTGAGCAGAATACTTCAGTTAAATTATTCTTCACAATGGATACAGTATTTTTTAATAATTAATGTTTTTATTAATAAAGAAGTAAAATATTTGAAAATTTATTTAACTCTATCAATGTATTATATACAAAATGAATGAAACTCTTAGTATGTTTGAAATATTTAGTCAGCAAAAGTTTATAGAAGACATTTAAAAGCTCTATTTTAAATTCATAAGCTCTTTAAAGCTAAATATATTTTTTTAATAGTCAGATGAATATTTTATTCAGCTGGCTTCTTGTAGCTCGTTCATGATTAATGGTAGTTGGACAAATATACAATATACTGTATGAGCATCTAAATAACGTCAATACGAATTATTGAATTTTTGTAAAGTAGAGAAATGAACGCTAGAGTAACACTATTTGTTCAATAGCAGTTTGTACACTTGATTAATTATCTAGAAACTCGGTTCAACTGACTTAACGAGACTCTCAACTTGCTCTTAACATTCTCCTTACTTATTTCCATCTCATATTTATATACTTCAAGTTGAAGTCTTGAAGTCTTGGCTTCAAATAAAAAGATGCAGCATGGTTTACTATAAATAGAGTAGTATAGATTCCAATAAGCAGGATTTCTAAAGGCTTCCATATTTATTTTCTCATGCAGAAGTATATTACATATCCTCGATTTCAATTTTCTAGAAATTCATTTTTTATTTTATTTTATTTTTTTAAGTATTCTACAATATTATATGTTGTAAAAATTTTCAGTTTTTTTTCTTTGAGAAAAAGTAGGTGGCATAAGAATTATGGAACAAATATGGAAATTTCAATACCTATTCAATCTTTATGATTCACTGTTAAAATTTTCTACCGTATTTTTAATGGAAAAGTATTAAGGATTTAAGAAAAAATAAAAAAAACTCTAATATTTAAAATTCGAAGAGCTTTTGGTACAAAAAATCAAATACGTATGGAGAAAAATTCAATGAAATTCATGTCAAATCCGATCATATTATAAATTACTGGAGAACGAAGAAAATATTCTTTAGTGTATCAATCTTTTGCATTTTAGAGAATTCGCTATATTGAAGTAAAAAAGGTGAGCAATAAATGAGGATGAATACTTGGAATACTTATTGATACATTTATGAGCAATGCATTGTTACACAGAAGCAGATAAATTTGAAAAAAATTTTAATATTTCAATATTATTGAATTATTATAGATGGATATTTCAAATCAATTAATAACAAAAACTAAGTTTTATAATCAAGACCAATCCAATCATTCATTAAGAAGCAAAAAAATGATCAGAAAATGTTGAAAATAGAACTAGGTCAAAGTACTTTATGTAAAAATAATATTGATTATTCAAGGCTATTCTTAGTTAATCGGTTTACTAATTGACTATTGTCTTTTATTATTTTGATTTCAGTTACAAAGTTCATCCGTATTGGAATAGCTGACAAAAACGATAATCCACCATACTTTGATAAGGGCCTCTACGAGGCAGAAGTAGATGAAAATGAAGACATTCAGCATACAGTTCTCACTGTTACCGCCAAGGATCACGATGAGTGTAAATATGTTTAACTTATTCGATATTTATTTTACTCTTCAAATATTCAAATTATAATTAACGATCGTCCTACCTAACTGGGGGCAAATTCATTATTTTTACACTCGAAACATTATCAATTATTAAACATGAGATGAGTTTTTAAAGTAATTTTTTTCATGTAGTGTGAAATCATATTCCAAAAACAAAGTTTCATTATGTTCTTCGTCATGCATCCGGGATTTTGATATTCAATATTGCAATTTCAACAATGCTTTCGTGCAACAATGCAATCGTCAGTTTACGTAAATTTATAGTAAATAAATGTTGGTTAAAAAAAAAATTTTATTTTTAAAAATGTTGTTCATATAATTATCTTGTATAAAAGAAATATAGTTAATATTTTTCTTTAACAGTTTCAACAAATCCTTGTTTTTTTAGATAAAATGTAATAAATGTAGATTAAAAAACGTTGAAAGATTAAAAGTCCATTGTACTCGGAATCGTAGCGCAAAGAGAAACAATTATAAATAGTATTATATAATAAAAATATTAATTTAATTATTAACAATGCCATTAAAGCTCGATAATCTATGAAATAATAATGATAATCCTAATAATACTGATGTGAATATTCTAATGATCTTTTCAGCCTCGCGTATTCGATATGAGATTACGAGCGGTAACTTAGGTGGTGCTTTTGCTGTAAAAAATATGACTGGGGCCATTTATGTGGCAGGAGCATTAGATTATGAAACAAGAAAAAGAGTGAGTATTGAAACTACAAGTACTGTAAGATTAATTTTTCGATATCATCGACATAAATGTCAATATCAAATTCGCAAGTAACATTTTTCATTGTCAGTGTAATACTTGTTGTTTTTATTTTATTTATTTTATATATATATATATATATATATATTTTCAATTTCAGTATGAACTTAAATTAACTGCATCAGACAATCTAAGAGAAAATTATACTACTGTAGTTATTCATGTTAAGGATGTAAATGATAATCCCCCAGTTTTTGAACGACCAACTTATAGAACACAAATCACTGAAGAAGATGATAGGAATTTACCAAAGCGTGTTCTCCAGGTATCAAAATATTTTTTCTTTCTTTATTATTTACACTAAACTATTCGTTATATGGATCTAAATCATCAGAAGATGATTAAAAGTTTTGAAAGAAAAAATTAGCATTTAAGAAAGTAATTAGAGAGTAAAAAATAAAATCAATTATCTTATATTAGCAGGGTCAAAAGTTGATGAATAAACAAGTTATTGATGTCATTATAAATTATAAAGTTATAAAAATTTACTAAAAGCATTACATATTATTTTGTGGTTTAGTTTAGTATGTTCAAAAATAATAATATTCAATCATTCATCAGTTCATGTCTATTCACTATATTTAAATTGATTTTGCTGATTATTTTGGGCCACTAAAATTTCTGAGTGTACCAATAATTATTTAGAACCATAACTCTTCAAAATCAATATCGATTTAATATCAATAAAAATTGGGTATTTAGGTACTAGCCACCGATGGAGATAAAGATAGACCCCAAAATGTTGTATACTTTTTAACGGGTCAGGGAATAGACCCTAATAACCCAGCAAATAGTAAATTTGATATAAATCGTACAACTGGCGAAATTTATGTTTTAAAGGTAAATATATAGATAGATGAGTATACACGGTAAGGATACATAATTAACGGTGATTTATTTACTTTATAGCCATTAGATAGAGACCAACCAAATGGTCGACCTCAGTGGCGCTTTACAGTGTTCGCACAAGATGAAGGAGGAGAAGGACTTGTCGGTTATGCTGACGTTCAAGTTAATCTTAAAGACATCAATGATAATGCTCCAATATTCCCTCAGGGCGTATACCATGGCAATGTTACAGAGAATGGCACCGCAGGTGATTATTTGTCAATCGTCTATTTGCTTTGTTATCAAAGAAATTATAAAATCGATATGTTTGTTTGCTGAATTTCAGACATTAACTAATATTATTATTTCCTGAATAATACTTGTTAATTTTATAAATGTTTATTCATATAAAAAAAAGTCTGCTAAAACTTTCAAACTGTTAAATTGCTTTTTCACAGCATAACAATTAATTTTAAACTTGTGCAGTTACTCAATTAATCCTAATAAATTTTTGGTATTATTCGTTTTTACTGAAAGCATTATTTTCGAAAGATATTTATGATGTAGAGATGCAATTTTTCAATGAATATAACTCAAACGTGAATTATTTTCTAGGAATGCTTGTTATGACTATGACAGCAGTTGATTATGACGATCCAAGCGAAGGAACAAATGCAAAATTAGTTTACTCAATTGAAAAAAACGTTATTGAAGAAGAAACAGGTTCACCGATTTTTGAAATTGAACCCGAGACTGGAGTTATTAAAACAGCCGTTTGTTGCCTTGATAGGGAAAGAACGCCTGATTATTCCATACAAATAGTAGCGGTAGATGGAGGATCGTTAAAAGGTATGTTTTTTTTTCTCATTTCCTTTTTTTTCGTTTATTACTGAAAATGCTGATAACAAAACGAAAAAATTGATATATTTGAAAATCAAAAACCAATTCATTATCAGCAAACTTGTTTAAATATTGATCCAGGAAGTGGTTTATTATTAAAAAGTTAAACATTGGAAGAATAATGATTGTGAAAAGTATCAAGATAGTCGTGATAAAAGAATTATTATTTGTCTGTGGATTATTAAGTAATTCTTTTTAGGGACCGGTACGGCCTCGATACGAGTAAAAGACATAAATGACATGCCTCCACAATTCACCAAGGATGAGTGGTTCACCGAAGTGGATGAAACAGATGGCACAAATTTACCGGATACACCGATACTTACTGTGACCGTTCACGACGACGATGAAACCAACAAATTCCAATATAAAGTAAAAAAAAAAAATAGAATACTATGATAAAATACAAAAGAAATATAGCTTGCTAGTTGTTTTCTTTGACATTTTTTCTTATATTTATCTTGAAATGTACTTTTCTCTTCAAAAGATAGTTGAAGTAGACAAATGAATATCTTGCTGAGTTTTAAGTTGGCATGAATTCTAATAGCAATGTTTTATTGACTCACTAACATCACATACTTTCATGATATTGTAGGTACTTGACAATAGTGGATTTGGTGCAGATAAATTTACGATGGTAAGAAATAACGATGGTACTGGATCTCTGAAAATAGTTCAGCCATTAGACTTCGAAGATCAATTACAGAGTAATGGCTTCAGATTTAAAATTCAAGTTAATGATAAGGTTTGTACAATTCAACACTTTAATTATTTTACTCTATAATGTAGTGGAGCTATAAATCAATCAAGTTACTTACTTTATACCAAAAAAAAATACTTTCTCCAACATTGAATTGCAATGAATATATTTGAATTTTAACATTTTCAGGGTGAAGACAATGATAATGATAAATATCATGTGGCTTACTCTTGGGTGTTAGTTAAATTACGTGACATAAATGACAATAAGCCTCAGTTTGAGAAGTCTAATATCGAAACCACTGTGCTAGAAGACGCGGCTGTTGGAAATAGTTTAGAAACATTTAAGGCAAGAGACCCTGATCAAGGTGGTAATAGCAAAGTTTCATATGCCATTGATCGTACTTCTGACCGTAAACGGCAATTTCACATAAACGAAAACGGTACTGTTACCATTCAGAGAAGTTTGGATCGTGAAGAGACCCCACGGCATCAAGTAAATATGCAATTTATATGTTTCTTTAATTTTATTCGTTTCTCTCCGCCAAAGCATCTTTAGTAAACTAACTTTAATTAACTTTTTCTTTTCATAACATAAAACTGGATGTTACACGTTTTATTTCTAGTTTTTTCTTTAAAAAAAACTTTAATAAATATAATATCACCGGAAACTTTAAATAAATTCTTTTAATTAATATCAATCTGAATAGCTCATTCATTAAGCGTAAATTCTTTTCTTCAATGTTTACTCGTTAAATTTTCAAGACAATTCAGATTCTTTTCAACTATTGCTATGAAAATATTTTATACAATATATTAAAAATGTATTTTTTTTAATGTTTATTTTTTATCAAAGATTTAAATTAATGACTTGGAATAATTACTGTCATCATAACCATATTTATTATCATTAGGTCAAAATTCTTGCCATTGATGATGGAATTCCGCCAAAAACTGCTACAGCAACCCTTACAGTTATTGTTCAAGATATAAACGATAATCCACCAACTTTTTTGAGAGATTATAGACCCATCCTACCTGAGTATGCTACACCAAGAAAAGTAATCGAAATTCTTGCAACGGATAATGACGACAGATCTAAAAGCAACGGTCCACCATTCACATTTAGAATGGATCCTAATGCTGATGATATCATTAAGTCGAGTTTCAAAGTTGAAAGTGATAACAGTATGTATCCTCAAGTTTTCTTCTTTTTTTTTACTAAATATACGTATATTTATTTAACATATTCTAATTCATAATTTTTTTCGTGCTTCAGAGGGTGCTAATGGTGATGGCATGGCCATTGTATCATCACTTCGTTCATTCGATCGAGAGCTACAAAAAGAATATTTTATTCCTATCGTCATTAAAGATTCGGGAACACCACTTATGGCAGGAACAAGTACATTAACTGTTGTTATCGGTGATATAAATGATAATAAAATGCAACCAGGATCCAAAGAAATACTTGTATATAATTATGCTGTAAGTTGATACTTCTTTTATAATAAATATTTATTATTCACACCTTAAAGTACTGTAATTATAAGTAACTGGAATAATTAATTAATTTTATAAACGAAGATTAAAAATTTCTATTATTTATTTTTGATAATAATAATAATAATAATAATAATAAATGTTCGTAATACGATTTGTAGGAACAATCACCTGATACGGAAATTGGCCGAGTTTACGTCTACGATCTGGATGATTGGGATTTACCAGATAAAAAATTCTATTGGGAGGGTTTGGAACACGCTCAATTTAAATTGGATGAGGACACAGGAATGATTTCAATTAAATCGGGCACACATGACGGAAAATATCATTTGCGATTTAAAGTATATGACCGAAAACACACACAAACTGATGTGCCAGCTAATGTGACAGTGACTGTAAAAACAATACCGCACGAAGCAGTAATTAATTCGGGTTCAGTTCGCATATCGGGAATATCAGATGAGGATTTCATACGAGTATGGGATTATAAAAACCAGCGATTAACAAGAAGTAAAATAGATCTGTTTAAAGATAAATTAGTGACTCTATTGGATATAGAGAGAGAAAATGTGGACATTTTTAGTGTTCAATTGAGAAGAAGCAATCCACCATTAACCGATATTAGATTTGCTGCTTACGGATCTCCTTACTATAAACCAGTTCGTCTGAATGGTATTGTTTTAATGCATCGAGAAGAAATTGAAAAGGATGTTGGAATAAACATAACTATGGTGGGAATTGATGAGTGTTTGTATGAAAATGAAATGTGTGAAGGTAGTTGTACCAACGTTCTTGACATTAACAATGTACCATATATGGTAAATGCTAATAAAACTGCTCTTGTCGGTGTAAGAGTTAATGTAATTCCACAATGTACCTGCGGTGCTCGAAATTTCAGTACAAGCGAATCATGCAGAAATAATCCCTGTTACAACGATGGACGATGCTTTGAAGGACGATATGGATTAACGTAAGGGAAAAGATTTATATACATTAATTATTTTACACTCTTTTTTAACAATAAATATATCATAAATTTATTTTAATTCTTCTCATATAATAGTATAAAATTTTTTATGAATTTAGTTGCCAATGTCCTCCTGGATATAATGGTCCAAGGTGTCAACAAACTACTAGGAGCTTCCGAGGAAACGGATGGGCCTGGTATCCAGCTTTAGAAATGTGTGACAACAGTCACCTCAGTTTTGAATTTATCACGAGAAAACCCGACGGGTTGTTACTTTACAATGGACCTATTGTACCTCCAGAGTCAGACGAAGTTATGGTTTCCGGTAAGTTTATCAAACTTATCTGGATAATTATCTGCGTTAACTTTAGAAAAGAATTTAAAAACTATTCAACACATTATTGATTTAGATTTCATTTCCATCGAACTGGACCGAGGCGTTCCCAGGCTATTAATTGATTTCGGATCAGGAACTTTAGAATTAAAAGTAAAACCACAAAGACCTTTAGATGACGGCGAGTGGCATCGGCTAGATATATTTTGGACAACTGAAACAGTTAGACTGATTGTCGACTTTTGTAAATCGGCAGTAATCACTGAGCTTGAAGATGGAACGCCGCCAACTTTCAATGATTCATCTTGTCAAGCAACAGGCACAGTTCCACCATTCAATGAGTACCTGAATGTAAATGCGCCTCTTCAACTCGGTGGCCTTTATGTTGAGCACTTTGATCCTACTCAGTATAAATGGAAAACACGACCGATTGGAAAAGGTTTCGAAGGATGTATAAGAAATCTCTTCCACAATAGCAAGCTTTACAATTTGGCTCATCCAGGACTGTCTAGACATAGTGTAGCTGGTTGTCCTCAAACAGATCAAATTTGTAACAATCAAGATTCAACGTTTAGATGCTGGGAGCACGGTACTTGCGTCGGTAGCTTCACAGAAGCTCGATGCCAATGTAATCCTGGATGGACTGGACCTGGTTGTATGACACCAACTATTCCAACAACCTTTAAACAACAAAGTTATATTAAATACGCGTTATCATTTGAACCTGATAAATATTCAACGCAAATCCAACTACGCTTCCGAACAAGAGAAAACCATGGAGAACTTTTTAGAGCTAGTGATCAGCATAATAGGGAATATGCAATATTAGAAGTTAGTATTCATACAAAATATATTAATTACTTACATAAATATTTAAGTTCTATTAACTACATTTTCATACATATGTCCGATTTCGTAAAATATTTTTAGTCTGTAAAGGTTTATAAACAATTTTTTTTTTCTCTTTGGAATAATGAAAATGAAATACATTTTTTAAATACAGTTAATTTTAATCTTCTACATATTATTTATCGATCAATTTAATAATACACAATGGTTATTAATTATTTTACAGATCAAAGGGGCTCGACTACAATTTCGATATAATTTAAATAATTTGAGAGTTGAAGAACGAGATATTTGGCTTAGTGCCATAACTGTAAATGACGGCCAATGGCATACCGTAAGAGTATCAAGATACGGTTCTGCTGCAACATTGGAATTAGATGGTGGTGAAGGACGAAGGTTTAATGAAACATTTTCATTTGAGGGCCATCAATGGCTTTTAGTTGACAAACAAGAAGGAGTTTATGCCGGAGGTAAAGCTGAATACACTGGAATCAGAACTTTTGAGGTTTACGCTGATTTTCAGAAAGGTAAAAACTACTTTATAACAATAATACAGAGTAATGGCATCTGGTAAGAAAAAAAAAGTGTGATAAAAAATAAATTGGAATATTTTTGTTATTAGGGTGCTTGGATGATATAAGATTAGATGGTAAACATCTTCCTCTACCACCAGCAATGAATGGAACTCAATGGGGTCAAGCTATAATGGCTAGAAATCTCGAGAGAATGTGTCCTTCTAACAAATCATGTGCTAATGTTATGTGCTCTGAACCTTTCGAGTGTATTGATCTCTGGAATGCACACGCTTGCACGTAAGTGAATCAATACATTTATCGCATTTTTATAAATTGTAGAATCATGAGTAAAAATAAACAAACAATTCACAATAATTTTTTATAGATGTGGTGAAGGGAGAATTCGATCTCAGGATGGTAAGGGGTGTGTGGATAAAAATGAATGTATTGACTATCCTTGCTTGAATGGTGGAAGGTGTATCAATCAAGACCCTAGAACAAGATATAGGTGTATCTGTCCTGATGGATTCTGGGGTGAAAACTGCGAATTGATTCAAGAAGGTCGAACTTTAAAATTAAGCATGGGTGCTCTTGCTGCTATTTTAGTATGCCTTCTGGTTATTCTCGGTAAGTTATTTTTTTACTTCCCATTCTTATATTAGTATAAAAATTCAATTTCTAAAAAATGTCTATTATAATTTTACTTTGCAGTTTTAGTGTTAGTATTTGTAGTTTACAACAGAAGAAGAGAAGCTCATATTAAATATCCAGGGCCAGACGATGATGTAAGAGAGAACATTATTAATTATGATGATGAAGGAGGCGGAGAAGATGACATGACAGCATTTGATATTACACCATTACAAATTCCTATTGGTGGGCCTATTCCTGAAATGAATGCAAAACTTACATCCTGTAAAATTGCATGTGAGTAAATTATATTAGTCTATTTTTTTTTTACAGCAATGTCTAAGTGAATGTTTGAATCACTAAAATTTTTACTGCTTATTAGATACTTTGGGGCCAGAACCAAATGTCGGAATTTTCATAGAAGATCATAAAAAAAGAGCTGACAGTGATCCAAATGCTCCTCCGTTTGATGATCTTCGGAATTATGCATACGAAGGAGGTGGCAGTACTGCTGGCTCATTGTCTTCGTTAGCATCTGGTAAGTATAATTATATTTACATCAAATCCTCATTTATTATGGCATAAATATTCATTATCATTATAATAAATGATTAAATAAATTAATTGCAGGCACTGATGATGAACAACACGATTATGAATATTTGGGCGCATGGGGTCCAAGGTTCGACAAACTTGCAGATATGTATGGTCCAGCTGAAGAAAGTGAAGAAGAGGAATAAGTGAATATTAGTCCATTATGCGACTACAATGGTGCCTGCATTATTATAGATGCAATATGACAGGATCATATAAACGGAGAAAAGAAATCTTTTAAAATAATAAGGTAAAAAATGGTACAGTGGGCATAAACACAAATAAAAATAAAGAATCTTTTTTATCATTTATTTAACATATAGACTGTCTCAAGGAATGATAAAAATAGAGATAAAAATGAATGTGCGGTAAATAAATACAATTTGAAGAAATCTAAAAGATCTATATATTATGCCCAACTGTCATTTTTATTTTACCTTAAAGCATGAATAATATTGCAATAATAATAAGCTCATAAAAAAACGAAAGAAAATTGTTACTTGCACTGGAAGTTGCATAAATTTTAAAAACTATGCAGTATGAAGATATACTTAGTCATCATTCCTATAAATACGATAATTGTAAGAATTTTGTATAAATTTATTTATTATTTATATTTGTTTATTACCGATGTTAAATCACTATTCATTGTTTTGATTGTCATGTTTTGGTTTTATGAAATTTTTGAAACTTTCACGAATATTTCTATGAACCAATACCAAAGAAAAATAATTGTAATTTAGACCTGAAAGTTTGTCTATTTTATACATGTAACGAACTCCGATCTCAACACTACGTACATAAGATAAAAGTCTCAAATTTTTAATCTAACTTTTATTTAATAATGGAGTAATTTTTTAATTATATTGAACTGTTGATACAATTATTAATACAAATTAAATATCAGAAATGTGTGTTCCGGTGCAACAAAAAATAGTTATTAATGAATATTTTACTGTCATTTTATCGTTGTTTGCCATAATACTATTAATGAAACGAGAAATCATTGACTGATCAATTATCTACCACTATTGATGAGCACAATCATCGTTATCAAGTATTAATACGTAGAAACTACAAAGATCAATTTCACAATGTATTATTAATAAATATTCGGAGAAAATATGTCATTGTCGTGCACATGTAATTATATTCTTTAATCAACGCTAAACCAAAAAAAAAATTTTTTAAAAGTATGAATTTATACGATTTGATAAATTAATTAATTTAATTTATAACTAATTTAATTTTTATTATTATGTAGAAAAAATTTTTTTTAATATTTGTTGTGTAAAAAATATGAGACAAACAACAAACTAATGAATGAATCGAGTGCGAGAGAAATATCGCATGTGTACTTTCTATAAAAGTAATTTTAAAAATAAGTGAAGAATATTATATCTCACGAGAAGTCAAATGCATTTAAAGAGAAAAAACTCAAAGCATTTGATAATTTTTTCAATCAATTGACTTGCAAAATTCTCAATGAGATATTCTTATAGTCAATTTACTATTTAGATAGTCGACGTGACCATTATTTGTATAAGTGGTACTGAAAAGTGCGATCGATGTATGAATATGTAATTATAATAATTAATTACGGAAAAAAAAATTAGATCAATGGAACAGAATTCTCTAAGAAATTTGTCATATTATCTTACGTACTATTACAATAATATTGTATGAGATTATTATTATTATTATTATTATTATTATTATTATTATTATTATAACATCTTAAAATTAATTATCATTGTAATATTTATCATTTTATAATTTGTGATATTAATTTTTTTATATATACTTAATCCAAAAAAATCCTCTTCCTAGTCTATCGTATAATTAGTATGACATTTAATATTTATTAAGTCAACATAAGAATACTTATACGATTCCATCATGAATGCCCAAATATAGTTATTCTTTTTCCACTAAACAAAAAATTGAAAAAAAAATATATATATAATTATTTCTTTTTATACGAACAATTTTTGTTCCTATCTGTAGTAGTTAAAAATTCAATTAAATTAATAAATGAAAATGTAGAAATAAAATAGTGATACAGTATTCCAACAGACTGACCAGTCGGAAATAAAAAAAAATACATATAAGTAAACAAATTGAAGCAGATAAACAGATTTTATCACTAAAAAGCGTAAATTGCGTCTATAAGTATGTGTACAGTGGCATTAAATAAAAAAAAATCGTTAGAGAGCACTGTTGTGTATTGTGTATTATACATAAAATGAATCGTTAATATTTATATTTATTATTATGATCATTATTATTATTGTCTTCATAATGTTAATAAAATGAAACCATAACTGAATATTATTATATTAATTAATAGTACTTTTGCAAAATTGCAAAACTCATATGTTTACTGTAGATGTTATTCAATCAACACTAATGTATCATAAAAATAAATTCTATACACTGCCACTGAACACATCTCATTAGTACAATTACTAATAAACTTATTGAAATAACAATCTACAGTATAATCGGGCATACACATATTATAATTATTGAATTATGATATTAATTATTAATTACTTACTATTATCACTATTATATCTACACTATTTGTACGTTAATTATAATTTAGTTTGGATAAAATAAATGCCTTCTTTTTAATAAAAATATCTTGAAGTAATTTATTTTTTATATCACTACTATTGTTATAGTCATTAATATAATTATCAAGGGTTTCCTTGGTTCAACTTTATATCTTCATTATTCCTTAAAACATTTACAATTTTTACATATCGAGACTGTTTGTTGTCCTCTATTTATAAGTTTATGTTTTCTACTAATAAAAGATGATAATAAAATGTTATCAGCCATTTCTTGTAATAAACGTTGATAAAGATTCCATGCAATAACGTCTACAAAAACGGTAATTCCATAATTCCTTAAAGATCATAATACCAAGTTATGTCATTATATATCACTTTTGTAAAATAGTTAAAAAAATTATATTTACATGATAATGGAAAAATCCACAGCCTCTGATACATGAAGTGATGTCAAAAAAAACCCGATACTGAATAGGAATGGTACAATTTGCATTGCTGTTGGATGGTCTTCAATCCATTCATCAGCTTGTTCTAAGTCCCAATTATTCAACAGCTGATTAAAATAATTTAAGAAAATTTAAATTAAACAAATTCTTGGATAAATCATATTAATATTATTTATTGATAATCATTATCTGATGATTATTAAAAAAATAATAAAATAGAATTACGTTACGTGACTAATAGATTTTGACGCAGTTGATAACATAAATGTATCGAGAGGTTTCCAAATATATCTCAAACAAGATTCCAAGATAAATAATGTTGCTAATAACTAAAAGAGATATTAAACAATTAGTTATTTTATTATTATCATTATAATTCAATGGATACACACTTCATAGAGGCATAAAATCGATGCTGGTGGATGTTGAAATGTTGGTGGAAAAAGAGAAACTTGAATGATTATTACATAAATCCCAAAAATGAATAACAAATTTCTTACAATTGGTCCTTTTGTAATTTGTTCTTCGTCTCCTTCTTCGATTGAAGGTGAAAGACATGTGTGAAAAATGTATACTCCCATTGCGTGTAATATTAATGCTGGAAGTGTGCATAAAATCTTGGACATTCTGATATATTTCTATCTTGTTGATAATTTTGTTTTAATCAAATCATTTATGCGACAGTATGTGTATGATTGGAAGAACGGCTCTGAATTTGGTTAAATGTCACATCCAATTTCATTACATTGACATATGTCACAGAATAATTCTCAAAAATATATATTAATATATAACATAAAATTTAATCCAAGAAACCCTAATGCCCTGTCTTATCAAGGCCTGTAGTATACAAGTATTTAATTTTTAATTTTATTGATAAATAATTGAATCTCAAATATACAATTTTTCAAACAATTATTATGTTTTTTCATTATTAAATATTATTTTATTCAAAAATAATCTCTCTAGCGTTAATCGATAAATAATAAATTTTTATAAATAATTTGCTGGTGTTAAATGCTAAACATCAATTGAGAAATTTACATTGTCATATAATCAAGAAGCGTATCAAGCGATTCTGTTGCATCCATCATCCACAAAAATGAAAGTATCGATATACATAATGTTACATGACAGGCTGCATCTTCTTTTGCCATATAGTTTGCAAACTGAATAATTGGTGATTTATTGTTTAACCCCATTGCTGAATTAGCCCATTTAAGCTGAAAAGTTTATGGTCATCTGTGATAATTATTTATGAAATCTCTAGACTATCAGTAGCTACTCACCCATTCACTAGATTCTTGAGTCAGATACCAAGTTGAATTTAAAAGTGGCATCCAAATGACACGTGTTGTTAAATTCGCAACCAAAGATGCTACTAACATCTGTATCAATAATTAACAAATATAGATATGCAATAACCTTTCAGTAAATTCCAAAATGATATTTGCAAATGATTTAATTACCTCATATATGTATAAAAGATATGCTGGTGGTTTTTTGAGAGATCTTGGCCAAGGTTTATATTCAGCAATTACTGATAAGACAGAAAAAGTAAAAAGGAGAGATGAATACGTTGGATAAAATACTGTTTTGTCTTCGAAACATAGTCCTATTATACATATTTGTCTGACATGGGTGTATAAACCAGCTATGATCATTACCATCCAGTGAGTATTCAAACATTCTACATAGTCCTTCACAGTTTCCATGCTTTTTTAAAATTTAAAGTGAATTTTTCTATTTTCTCCTGATGCGTTATTTGTATTTTAAATATTTTCAATCATTGATTGCGATGAAAACATTAGTGAAATTATCAACTATTCTACAACGAATCTCACGTTAAAAGGTTTTTTATTCAAATCTGAATTCTATTAAATAACATAATCTAACTTCACATTGAAAATAAAAGAAAATCTATTATATTTAATTGTTATTATTTGAAAATTTAGACAAAAAAAAAAAACAAATAACGGCATCTATTAAATTTATCTTTGAAAACTATCTTATCAAATGTCGATAAAAATGTAAACAGATAAAGCACCAACTAGATGTTGGTGCAAAAATTAATTACAAAATGAAAAAGTGAATAATTTTGTGAACAGCTCGAATTATTTATCTTTTATAAACAACTAATGTTTAATTACGATTCTAAATTGAATAATATATTAAGATCGTAGTTCCTTTATATATTTTTTTATGTGTGTCATGTACTTGTGCAAATGTAGCTGCATTTGTAGTTTTTGTAACCCACGTGTTAGTGTTTGAGGTTAGGACCTTTAAAAAGTTCAAAAGTAAACACGACAATAAAATGAAATCGAGGACAATAAAAAGAAATAAAAAAAAACAAATAATTGAAAAAACTCGCAAACAGTTGCGCAAAGAAAAGAGGCAACAAAAAAAAATTAATCGTGCTCAATATTATGCAAAGAAAAAAAACATTCCAGGAAAGTTTGTATTAAACCCTGAATGTTCATCAGATGAAAAGTTTGATGTCACTGCTAAAAAAATTGTGAAAAATAATAAAAATCACAATAAAATTAAGAACAATGGTAATACTAATACTAACAATAATAATAAAAATGTAGATGTGATGCAAAGAGAGTTAAAAAAAGAAAAATTAGAATTAAAACATCTTCAGAATCAAATGAAAAAACATAGAAAAATAGGTCTGATAGAAGATAATGAAAAAGAAGATAAAGAAATTAAACATTTAGAAAAACAATTAAGATTAAATAAAAGAAAAAGTAAGACTGTACCCAAATCATTTGTTGATGATGGTTTAGATTATTTGTTAGATTTTTGTGACGGAGAAAATAGGAGATTTGCTCTAGAAACTGAAAAGCAGTTACTTGGAGTTGATATTGAGTCAGATTTCGATGAAGATTTCGAAATGGTTACAAAAGGAGTAAATGTAAAAAATACACTGAAGAAATCCAAAACAAAACATGATGTTGATGAGGAATTACTTTGTAAGGGCGATGAGGAAAGTAGTGATGATGACAACAAGAGTATGAACAGTGAATTTTCAGATATGAATGAAAATGATTATCCATCAGGCATGGATACAAATGACAATCTGTCTGAGATAGATGCAAATGAGGATTTTTCAGATGAGGATGAAGATGATAATGACCTCGACCAAAATCGAAATCATGACAAGATTCAAAATGAAAGTGAAGATGATGAAGACAAAAATGTAACGGAGGGAGAAGAAAATGGAACTTGGTATGATATTTATGGAAGAAAACGAGATAGTAGTGGGCATGTAATATCCGAGGACAATAAAAATAAATACATTCCACCAGCAGCAAGATTACAAAATTTGAAAAAAAGTTCTACTGACGAAGAAAAATTAGCAAGGCTCAAAAAACAGTTGAAAGGTCTTGTAAATAGATTAGCAGAATTCAACTTACATAGTATTGCTCTTCAAGTAAGTTTTAATATACTTATTTAAATAATACATTAATTAAAGAGTTCTAGGAAAAAATTATCAAAATAATTTTCGAAACAAAATTGCTTAGATAAAAGCATCGGCCTGATTTGCTAAATTACCAAAGTGTTTATCCTAATTATTTCTATTCCAGATTGAAGAGCTGTACATGTCAAATAGTCGAAATGATATGAATGAATTGATATCTACTCTTTTATTGGAGTCAATAGTCTCTACAGTGATGACACCAGATCGGCTAATTGCGGAGCACATGCTGTTAGTTACTGTTCTTCATGCTAATGTTGGAACGGAAGTTGGCGCACACTTTTTATTAACAGTAGTGAAAAAAATTGATGAGCTAATTGAAACAACTCAAGATGTTGAAAATAAAGAAGTAGACAATTTGATATTGATGCTTTCGCATTTATATAATTTTAAAATCTACGCATCTCAACTTATTTATCAAATTTTAGATAAATTAATTGATAAATTTACAGAAAAAGAAATAGAATTAATTTTATTAATATTAAAGACTATAGGATTTCAGCTAAGGAAAGACGATCCTTTAGCTTTAAAACATCTCATTTTAAAAATACAGCAAAAAGCTAAATCCACTGAATCATCGAATTCACGTATACAATTCATGTTAGACGTTCTATTGGCTATTAAAAATAATAATATGAATAAAATACCGCAATATGATCCAACTCATGTTGAACATTTGAAGAAAATATTGAAAAGCTTCCTTCGTAAAGGTAATACTGTTACGCAGCTAAACATTTCTTTAACTGATTTACTTACATCTAATGAAAGAGGTAAATGGTGGGTAGTTGGATCAGCATGGACAGGAACAATAAATAATACACAAAATGAAAAAGTATCTGATACGCAAGTTGAATACAGCGAAAAGTTATTAGAATTAGCTCGCAAACAACGAATGAATACTGAAATAAGAAAAAACATTTTTTGCATTCTCATGACTGCTGAAGACTATTTAGATGCTTTTGAAAAAATAAGTCGTTTGAACTTAAGAGACCAACAACAAAGAGAAATTATCAGTGTTATCATGAAATGCTGCCTCCAAGAGAAAGTATTTAATCCATATTATGCTGTCTTGGCACAGAAATTTTGCGATTCTGACCGAAAATATCAGGTACTTGATTTTTTTATTTACAATGTATCTATACGTTTTTAATGGGATATGATTATTTAATAAATTGTTTTGTCTTTATTTCAGATGTCATTGCAATATTCATTGTGGGATAAATTAAAAACTTTAAATACTTACACTAATGTTCAAATTCATAATTTATCTAAATTTTTAATTTATTTGTTTATTGAAAAAGGATTACCTTTAACAGTGTTGAAAGTAATTGAATTTGGTGAGTTAGACAAACCAACAATGAGACTCTTAAGACAAACAATGTTCGGAATTTTACTTCATGATAATACTGAAGCTTGCTTGCAAGTGTTCGAACGAATACCAACGTCACCTCAATTACAAATGTTACGTGAAGGACTTAGACTATTTATTAATCATTTTCTGTTAAAAAATGTTGATTCCAAATCATTTCCGGAACAAGAAACTAAAAAATTAGTTGAACGAGGGGAAATAGTAGATAAAATTTTGTACAAACGTTCTTCAAAAACTTTACTTTGAAATAATAATCATAAAAGTATTTAGTAAAATCCATTTATTTTTTCAAAAATTAAAATTAATCTTTCATCGAAGATAGTGTCATGTTTTCAAGGAATAAAAAAAAAACAAAAATTTTATATGTAGTTAAAATATACTGTCATTAAAATTAATGATTAAAGTGTGCCATACAAGTTTTGTAGGCATTGTCGTATTTTAAAGGAAGTGGTCCACTACACCCATATCCACCAAGATAATGGATTCGTGCATAATCATCACAGTTTATTACTCCATCGCCATTACAGTCCTAAAAAGACAAGTTGCAATGTCAAATATATTATCAGAAACATTTTCGTTCTTATAGTTCATTTTTTTACAATACAATTTACTAAATTACCTGAGCAAACCTATCCATATACCCTTGAACTGCATCGGCGGCACAGAAAGGATCATTGACACACCGCGTCCAAGCTGTAATTAAATTATTATGTAATAAATGAATCTTAATTACAATTGTGAATGATTTTTTATTTACTAAAATCAATTACGGAAATAAAAAATTAATTCGTAATTATAGTTAGAAAAGGAATTAAAGAAGAATTATTTTAATTACCGCCTTGAGCATCGGCGGATTCGCCGTTAAGAGTAGGTTTTCCGCTGTCACTCCAATAACCCCATGTTATACGGAAAGGACCACAAACATCTCCAACACAACCAGATTGTGTGTCACATCCTGAAGCAGCTTCACAGATACATCCGAAGCAGGTTTTAGAAATTTGTTGGTGTGGTACTGGAGCAGCTTTGGTATCTAAAGAGGTGTCTTGAGCTACAAGATAATAAATTAATTTATTTTTATTCTGATCATTTTTCACGCTGTTTAGTGTGATGTGCATACAAATTTAAAATGTATATTTTTAGAATCGATAATATTGTAAGTTGTGATTTAGCATAAATTCCAAACACTAGAATGTGACCTTGGGGAAATCCTATGAGCGACATTTTTTCAATAATTGATAACTGGCAGAACCGGATCGTGCATTAAAATCATTGTTAATATAAATTATAACATGTTAAGTGATTAAAATTAAAATATTAAATTTATTTTGATAATATATTGTATATTTCATTTTAATGTCAAATTGGTTTTTTTTTTTAATTCAAAAAGTATGTATATTTGCAAATTCTAATAATAAAAAAGCGATAAAATTTAAATGGTACAATGATTTTTTCTACATGATAAGGTATGATAACAAATAGATAATAAATGTAATATTAAATGAATTTAACATTAATTATAACTTGGACATTTCAAACGTATAATTTTGTATAATTATAATTAAGTTAATTGTAATGAAAAACTTACCACAAGCAAATGAAATAAGTAACAACAAAAGAGTAACTTTCATTGTTATTATGTTATTTTTTCTTAATGAAACAAAAAAATTCTATTTGAGAGCACCTTCGTATATTATAAGCTTAGAGAGCAGTCTGATAACTGCATACAGATTGCTGGACCTTCTCTTTATATACTCATTTGCTCCAATGTCAAGGAGTCATCCTAAAGTGGGGAATCCAAGAACATATACATATATCATTGAGTTCTTAGTTCTCGAACGAGTTGATCAAATAAAATAAAAATATCAATGTAGAAAATAATTATCAAACAAATATACTTATATGAACATTTAATATTACACTGGACAGTGTAAATTATGAGTCATTGTAAACTAGAAATGTCATATTACTTTTTCAGTTTACTAATGCATTTTTAATTATTATATTCTTTATTTCTTAATATAATAGATTATACTTCTTAGATAAATATCTGTGAAATCCCAACAATAAAGCACGATAGACAATGGCTCTAGTCGTGACTAGAGTTTTGAGTAATATGAAAATGTTGAGTAATTGATAAATTTTACATTACAATTCACATGTTCTGTTACCTTTTTCGTAAATTTTGTGAATCATTAAACTTGACGTGGTATTATTGATTGCCATAATAGTTTTATGATAGATTTTTTATTTAGAAATATATTGACAAAGAAATTAATTATTTATTAAATTACTGTAATTTTTTCAGCATAATGATATAATTGTCAGCATGTACTATACTTAAAAAAATATTATGCATAAAAATTGAAAATATTTGATGTAAAATACAAATCAAAAACTATTTTAAAGAGAAGGTGACATATAAAACTCGGATATTTAAAAACAATGAATATGTATTTGTTTATGAATGAACATTAAAACTCATTTAGATCTTATTGAAGGCTGCGATATCTACAGATTGAACATATTCTTCAAATTCTTGAATTAATTCAACGAGATGATCAATAGATACTTTTTCATCCTCAACAACGCACATAATTTGCAGTTTATTGATCCCATGGCAAACTGGTACCAATTTAGCTGTCGAATATAAAACAAAAAAACTTTTAGTTTACATCATTTTTTTTTTATGTCATGATCAAATTGAAATATTTCAAACAACACTTACATGCTCCCCATACAAGACCATCCATAACTATAGATCTTACATTCTTTTCGATCTCCTGCATATCGGTTTCATCGTCCCACGGTTTTACGTCAAGGACAACACTTGATTTAGCAATAAGAGCTGGTTTTTTCGATTTCTTTTCAGCGTAGGCTTTTAATCTTTCTTCTCGGATTCTCGCTGCCTCTGCATCATCCTCATCATCTGATGCGAATAAGTCTTCATCTTCGTCATCGGCGGGTTTAGCCGCTGGAGCTGCCGCGGCACTATCACCACCAATTGCAGCTGGTATTTTTTTTACTCCAGGAAGTTTTTTCAGTTCGTAAGATTTGATGTGGTTATACCATCTTAGTGCGTGAGGGTTCGAAGCTGGTGGAGCTTTTTGAAGAGCTTCATAAACTGCTACATCCGCTTGAGATGCTTGCCACCTGTAAATGAAATTTATTTAGTTTTAAATATTATTTAATTACTATTTGAACATATTTTATGAAATATACGGAATTCAGTTGAATAAAGCATTTTTATTGCATATGGTTAACACGTGTGCATAAACAATTTACCCTTCAATGTAGCTACGCTCTGAGAGATAAGTATCCAAATTTTTTAAACCTTTTGGTGTATTCAATTCTTCTATGGCCATGGTTAATTTTTAAAATTTATTAATAAATATTTATCAAAGTAATTTAATTAATATATAAAAAAACAATTTGACTGCACTTCGAAGCGCCGGAATCACGCACCAAGATGGTAGAAAAGATAGAATTTCTAAGATGGATGATAATTTCGAGCAGCATTATCCAATGGCTCCCTCTGTAATTGTAACAAAGTACTTACATATTATGATTTTTGTCACTATTTTATCATCACATCAAATGTCAGAAAAAAGTTGTTTTTATTTGTGAGCACGTGTAAACTTAATATTTATGTGAACATTACAAATATTATGCGAATAGTAAAAATATTTTGTAACAAATATTAAATAATTTAATTGTTGATTTAATAAAACATAAGCATTATTTTATATACAATCAAAGATTGTAATTATATTTTAAAAATTCACTATTTGTGTATTCAAGACTTCTTAACCTAAATTTTATGGAAAAAAACACTTTCCTTACAGTGTTTATAGCTATTTAAAATAATTATTAAGCTTATAATGTGACAAAATTTTAGTTATTATCATTAACATTAAATTAGATTATTTAAAAAAACATGAAAAAATCAACTGACACTCAGGAAAAATCACGACAGTCATTATCCGCAGTTAAAAAAGGACCTGTAAAAGGACTAAAAAATGTTTTGGCATCTCCACAAGAATTTGTATGGTATGTCAATCGATTATAATATTATAAAAAATATTACTAATTATATATTTATTTCATTTCAGGCCTATATTAAGAACAGAAAAGAAGATAAAGGAATTAGAAGCAATATTAAGAGAGTAATTATATTTATTAAAACTAAAAAGTCTTTAACTACATAAAATTAATATTAATAATAATTTCCTTAAAAAAAATTATAGGTTATTACCTCAAAAAAGAAACGATTCTAAATTAAGTTGGGCCCAATTACGAGGTTTATCGAAAGATGAACGAAAAATTCTTCGAAAAAGAAATTCCCATGCACAAACAAATCCAGAAAAAGATAAAATATTGTAAGTACTTAATATCCTATTTATATATTGAACAGGTATTAATGTTAATTTTGTTTTTAGCAACTGTATTATTTTTGGAATTAATGCAGTAACTAAAGCATTAGAAAAAGAAACTGTTTGTTCTATTCTACTTGATTCATCGGTTGATCCTCTCTTTATATTCAAACACATTATTATTATGGCACAGAACAAGGACATTCCGGTAATCATAATTCCTGCTTTAAAAACGTTGACCTTAGAAAAAAGAGGATTTGCATCAGCTGCATTAGCTATAAAGGTAATGTTGACTATGTTCGCTTTGATTTCGAGAATAAAATAAAATTGTAACGTTAACTTATTGTATTTGAATTTAATTTCAGAAAATAGCTATTGAGAGTGAAAATTCGTCACTTTTTTTGAAATTGTCTACAAAAATATCTCAGTTAATAGAAGAATTTCCAAAAGCATTGGGAAACCTTCAAATATTTGACGATAAAAATTCTGAAACTGTATCTTTAATGGAGGAAGATAATTCTGATATTGTCAATGTTGATGTAACTGAGGTGAAACCATTTATACTTGAACCTTCTATCTACAAGTATCGAATATCATGCAAAGAAAGAGTATTTTTGCCTTCAAATTCAACACAATCATCCGATAACATATCTTCCACAATAGAAGAAAAAACGTCTGAAGAATACATATCATTCAACTCAGAGAATATTATTAACAAAGATAATGTTGATGTAAAAGTATTGGCACGAAAAAGATATATAGATGAATTACAGGATGAGGAAGAGAGAGAACATGAAGTCGAACAAAGTATTGATTCAACAGAAGAATTTACAAATAATAACATGGATAATACGACAGATATCATTAAAAATAAAGGATTAAAATCCAGGAATGTTAACTTGAAAAAATCAAGAAAGAGAAAAATTCCTCATAATACTTATATGCCATTGAAGGTGAAACAAATTCGTAAAAATCCAAACAGAGTGAAAGGCAAGAAAAAAATTTTGTAAGTAAATTTGAACAATTTTTATTTCAAAAAATTTATGAAAATCTATCATTGCTATTTACATTTTTACAAATTATCTAGTTAACATTATTAATATTAAATTTAATCTTGCTCACTAAAATTATAGATAAATTTGTAAAATAATCCCTAAATTATTAAACCAGTCTTTTGTAGTTTATGATAAAAAATTATACTTTTAAAACATACATCATATAGGTAATGTTGAACTAACTGGCGACTTGAATAATTTTCCAAAATACATAAGTCCAGTAGTTCCTCCTGGAATATGACTCACCAAGAAATATAATAATGTTATTATTTGTAAAACTCCACAAAATATAGTCAGTGGTGTTGATTGCAGATGCAATGCACAATAGAGTGTTCCTCCTAATGTTAGCAAATATGAGATGGTAAAACAACGTCTTTCAGGGGTGAATAAAGATTTAAAATAATTCAAAGGTCCCCATAAGAATGTGAAACTATTGGAAATGAAAAAATAAATTGAAATATTTAAAATTATATTTAATTTAAATATTATATTTAGATAAGTTATCGGCTTACCTTAGTAAAATGAATAAACTTCCTAATGAATATAAAAGACCAAACTTTCTGGCTTTAAGAAGTAGTACAGGTACATAGATAGCTGATAAACAGAAGCAAAGAATACCCATCAAAATACATAATACAAATCCAGTAAGTCGCTGAAGTCTAGTCTGCAAATTATATTTTATTATTTAAAAAAGTTGAAATCTTTAATAATCAATTAATAGACTTTATTTCAGCAAAAAAATTTATAGCTTTTTGTAAACAAACCAAAGTAGGAAAACAACTTTGAGCACTCTCTGTCCACCTAGATTCTTCTGATTTTGGTTCTGAAGATTTTTTAAACCATTTTTCTAATGATGGCTTTAAAACTGTTATCGTTGGTAGAGCTGGTAGTTTATGTTGTTTTTCGGTTTTGTTATTCAGAAGATATTCATTCAATTCTTTATTAAGATCAGCCATTTTCAAAATGAATACAAATAACAAAAAATGAACTTTATGTGGCAGAATACACGTCTCTGTTGCTCCTACATGTCACCCAAACTTGCGCAGGCGCTTTATTGCAATTTTTAGTACTGGTTTTTAACTGCTGAAAATATTGGTGCTTTAACCACACTTTCATTCTATACACATCATGTATGTTGTATTTTTTAAATCGAAAAAGAAAAACAATTTAAAGATTATATACAAATTTGCACCAATTTGAATTAAGATAATGTATAGACAGATTAATCAAAAAATATAGAACCTAAGGAAATATGAATAAAAATATAAATTAAATCAAAAACCTAATGTATTTTCTATAAATAATTTCGATCATTACAAATCGCCATTTCGTAACATACTAAAATTTTAGTCTGGTTTTTTCGAAGAATATTACGATAAGCTTAATAAACAAAACAAAAATACATATTTAAAAATCAAGCTTTAAATAGCGAAATTTGAATTAAAAGATAATCAAGATTACTTGAGAATAACTTAACACTTTAAAAAATTACCTCTTTTTTTATAATTATAATGTTTTTTATTCATAACATTTGTTGTTTTTACTAATCGACATTTTGCCAACGAATGTTGATTTTTAAATTTACCGGTATTTGAAATAAACAGTAGTGACCTCTCATTTTTGAAATTTATATTAACGACTCCGAAACGTGAATTCGCTCTGTTTGGAGTACTCTATGGTTTATACAGTATTCTATGATTATACACGTATACGAATTTGTGGAAACAAATATTTCTGAAACATTGGTTAAATAGTAGCAAATGGTTAAGTCAGTGTTATGTTTCTATTTTAATTTTTCACGTTTTTATAATTTATCTCTTAGTTGAAATAAAATTAATCAATTACTTTGACCTATAAATTTATTAAAAAAATCAAAAAGTCAATATGATTCTTCAAGGAATGTTTGACGATATTAAACGCATGGACAAGCGGCAGGTATATTATAAATAATTAATAAACATTCAGATATTTTACATACTATATTTCCATTGAAAAATATTGAAATAATGAATATTCTTTAACGATTAAAATAATAATATTCAGTATGAGTGATTCTGTTTATTATTTTTAACAGTTTTTCTATCAAGTTTTAAGCTTTGGTATGATCGTATCATCAGCTTTAATGATATGGAAAGGATTAATGATTGTCACAGGAAGTGAAAGCCCTATTGTCGTTGTACTGAGGTATATAAATTGCATTTAAAATAAATTTTTTTCATATTAGCGAAAGCTTGATGATAAAAAAAATAATATTAACTATTTTTTAAATATATTAGTGGAAGTATGGAACCGGCATTTCATCGTGGGGACTTGTTGTTTTTAACTAATTACCAAGATGACCCAGTAAGAGTTGGAGAAATTGTAGTATTCAAAGTGGAAGGAAGAGATATTCCTATAGTACATCGTGTACTCAAATTACATGAAAAGTAATTTCTTTATTTATTTTTGAAGAACAGTTTAATATTCATTAGTTAATATTTCGTATCTTACAATGGTTATTTTAATTATAAAATATATTATTTTAGAGCTGATGCTAACTCAACAGTTAAATTTTTAACAAAAGGAGATAACAACTCAGTTGATGATAGGGGTCTTTATGCACCCGGTCAACTGTGGTTAACTCATAAAGATGTGGTTGGAAGAGCCCGTGGATTTTTGCCATATGTTGGAATGGTTACAATTTATATGAATGAATATCCAAAACTGAAATATGCAGTTTTAGCAAACCTTGGATTTTATGTTCTTATACACAGAGAATAGTGAAGTGTTTTTTAATTAATAAGGGAACTTTTTTTTTCATTTCTAAAATTTATTTAAGACAAAAATAAAACAAGTAATAATATAAATTCAATATTGATATTGAAAAAGTATGAGAATTATTTGAATATTCTGACAAACATAAACATGGACAAACAATTATGCTATCACATCAGACTTCTAAAGACTAAAAAAATTAAAAACGAATTAATAACGACGTTTACATCGAATCCAAGTATTTTTTGGTTGTACAATTAAACCAGACAATTTATCATTTAGTCCCGTGGGTTCTCCCTCAACTAATTCAAAATTAAAATGTTGCATAAGAGATGCAAATATGATAAAAATGACAAATCTTGCAAAAGTTTCTCCAGCACATACACGCCGTCCTGAAATATAATTTTGTAATTAATATTATTCTAATCATTAATTAATTAATTTAATAAACATACCAAGTCCGAAAGGAAAAGTGTAATCTTTGACCAATTTAGTTTCATCTTCTGTTAAAAACCTATTCGGTCGAAAGCACTCTGGATCACCCCATAAATCTGGATCATTATGCATCCCTGCTAAATTCGTAATCACTATGGTATCTGCTGGAACCGTATAATTATTTAAAGTTGTAGTTTGAACAGCCCGATGAGTAACACTTAACGGTGTTAAAGTTTCGATGCGTAAAACTTCACGAATAGTAGCTTCTGTATACAGTAAACTGAAAGATAAAGAACTATTTAAGTAACTAATATTAATAATGATTTTTTAACATACTTCTTTCTGTCATCCAGTCCTGGAAGTCGTTCATATCCAATAACGTCATCAATTTCTTTCTGAACGCGTTTCATCACTTTTGGATTATGAAGCATATATTTGATACAGTGTCCAAGTACAGCAGGAACAGCAGATAAAGCGGGAAACATGAAATCAACTGCAACCATTATTAATTGTTCTTCTGAAAACATTGCATCATTATCCAACGTATTTTTTTCCTTATTTATTTTCATTTCTCGAAGATATGTTCGAAGAAAGCCTTTTTGAACTTTTTCCTCCAACATTTTATCATCTGTTTCGTCAATGAATCTCTGATATTTTTTTAATAATTTAGTCAATACAAACAATTTAATTTTAAAGGGTCAATTAAAAACTTTTACCTTTACAAAATCAATTATTCCTTTATTTCCTGTAATAAAATCTTGAAATCCAAACATATTTCCAAAATATTTTAACCAGCCTGTCATACTGATAGCTCCACCAGTAGTGTCACCACCTTTTTGAAAACGAGTAGCACATAAACAGAGTTGGCGTAATTTTGAATGTTCTTCTCGTGATAATTTATCACCAGCCATCACTTTCCAAATCATATTAGCACATGCAGGAAATAGAATGTGTGGAAAATAAACTAGATCATTTTTCAAAATTTTCTAAATAACATTGTCAAATATCATTTATTTTTAATTCGTAATATTAATTTTATTATGGTAAGTAAAAAAAATTAAAACCTTTTCATCATCATTAATTGGTCCATACTTAATTGTATCAATTAAGATTTGAACTTCTTCATTTAAATCATCTTCTAAGTTTCCATGACGTCGACCAAATCCAAAGTTCCTTAGATTACGGAGTGCAAATCGTTTTTGTTCTTGCCACTCATAATCATCATTAAAAAATATTCCTATTATTGAATTAATGTCAATATTCATTTACTTATTATTTTTATGTGAGTTTTAATTAGAATGAAAGTTTTTCTTTATTTTACCTAATTTTTTTCCAAATGCTCTTGCTCTAAAAACTTCTACGGTATTCAATCTGCCTTCAAACTCTCTTCTAGTCAATACTTCTCTAACGCTTTGATAATCATTAACGAATATTGTAAAAAATTCACCTAAATAGCCACTTATTACTTTTGATTTGTACTTTTTTACATAATAATTAAGCGTTTGATGAGGAAATTTATAATTTCCCCATAACAACAACCAATAAGAGCCCCATATTGGAAGTCGTATAATGCCTATTCGACCAAAAATATTTATAATTTTTTCAAATATTATTTTTTATAATACATCGAAGATTTGATTACCTGGTGGAGTATTCTCTGGTTTCTTAGTGGCAAATAAAAATGATAAATAAATTAATAATGAAACTGCTACTGTGAACAGAACAAGATCCATGTTTATTACAATTACCACGTTTCCGTTGTTACTGATTTATAACAATTTTATTAAAGAAAGCGTTACATAGAATCGAAAGTGTTATCACTATACATGATTTTTAATCCGTAAAAAAAGAATGATAATAATAAATATATTATTGATAAATTAATCGTTTGTTTGAATTAATCTTTGACCTGATCTTAATTTATAATTAACTAAATAATCAGTATCCAATTAATCATTTGATTTTTTTATTTTTAAACTTAATGTTTTATCATTTTATTATGTTCTACAAATGGTTAATATTGTAAAAAATTTTTTGAGATGACTAGAAAAATTATTCTAATTTTTAATTCAAATATTCTATTAATTAAGAATAATTATTATAAATAAAAAGAAAAATGTACAAAAGAAAAATTAAATTCATACATATTTTATGTTAATTACAGTATTTAGTATCAGTAAAACAACTAAAATGTAAATTATTCTTAATAATACTTCGCATTCGATCATCTCGAATAACCTTCGATCCAATTGCTGGAGTTATATTATATAATAAATAAATACATCTTTCTAAGCTTCGAATTATTTCTTCATCAAAAATTGGAGTTTCTGTTAGATCATAATGTAACTTTAAAAATGCACTATATAATTCTAAACAATGGGAAGGTATTCTCACATGAAACATGGAAAGAATTGTTTCAGCAACCTGAAAACACCAAATTAATAAATTATTCTTTCCTTGTGTAATGAATAAAAATATATTGTTAATTTAATTATAAAAAATTCGCTTACAACACGAATGAAAATACTTTCATTTTTTTCATGTTTCCTCAAATATGAAAAATTGAAAATTTTACGCTTAACTATCAGAACATTGTGATCATAATTTTTTTTCTGGGTATGTCAGTTATCAGTCATGCATGATATTATAAGTAGAAATAAAAAAATATAAAATACAAGATTATGAAAGTAAAAATTATAATTATTACATCAAAAAAATGTATATGTTGATATTTCAAATTCTAAAAAAACAATTAAAAAATTTTTCTTACTGTACTCTCGCAGAACGTTCACTTTTCTATTTGAAACGGAAACTTTCCGTATAGAAATGACGAAAAAAAGAATTCAACTCTTAATTGATTAAAATAGCATGTGTAGGAAGGATAGTTAGACCATTTTAAATCACGTGTTTTTTTTTTTAGCTTCAGTGAAATTTTTATCTACAGTTTAAGCTGGCCCATTATTTCTTCTTAAGTGTAAAATGTACTATTTACTTTCATTATTGTTCTAAATTATTCTTTTTTAAATGTTGCAAATGAATTAATCTTACTTGTAATGTTGCTCTAAGAGTCCTCAAATCTGTATGATTACCACAATATTCAGATAACAATCTGGTTAACCTTTCACACCATTTGGCACATCCAATATTTGTTAATAATTGAGGTAAACTGGTCATATAGGCATGACGGAGCTCAAGATTAGTCTCAAATTCCATATTATCTAAAAGTGTTCCTATTATGTTATCTCTTTTGGTCCACTAGATAGAGAAATTAACGATATTTCGTATTTAATTATTATAATTGATTAAAAATTAAAATTCTACTATTAAACATTATTACCTCGTATGTATTAGATGTATTTCCATATTCGAGATTCATTAACACTGTTGTTAAACAAGAGTATAAAGGAATTATATACTCTGTTTCTCGATGTCGAGTTAACTTTTCTAGGGCATCATAAAGTACATCAACATATCCACTTCTTACAAATTCATGTTGCTAGAAAATAATAAAATCAAACATTAATAAAGAATGTAAATTTTTTTTGTGATCTGTAATAAGCACATCAATAAATAAAAAATTTTACAACGAACTTAATCACATTTGTTATTACCATAGAGGAATGTTCTAAAATTTTATGAATACATTTTAATCCTAAAATCCTATTTGCTGGCACATAGTCATCATAGATAATTAAAGCAGTTGGTAAAACATCTGATAGATATTCTAATAGTTTAGGAGCCTAGAAAGAAATATTCATTTATTAGAAAGTAGAAATGATATTTAAAGAATTTTTAGGTAAGAAGCAAACCTGAGTTTGATGTAAAATCCATTTATAACATAATACAGCCGCAGGGTAATTCTTCCATGTATTTTTTAATAATTTAGGCCGTAAAGTTATTAAAACTTTTTTCAAATTATCATTAAGATTATTAGTAAAGAATTGTGATATTCTTTCTATGTTTAAAAAATTGCAAATTTCTTCTAAAATATTATGAGCAAGAGAGACGGATTTCTGAGTATTCCAGTGACTTTGTTCACTTTGCTCCCCAACAATGATAATTAGATGAATCAATATTGGTAATTGTTTATCACAATCATCTTTAATAGATTTTAAAACATCATAAAAATTATATTTTATCTGTTCTAAATTGGTATCAATAATTTTGCGAAAATCTTCGTAGTCATGTTCATCACATGGATGATGTTCTCCATGAGAAAATTGTGGAACATAAGTATTTTCAATTAGATAAATAAAATTTCGAATTAGACTTGAAGAAAAGTTGGAAATTTTGATTTTTTCTAATTCTTCTGATAATGAATCCATGTTCATATTTCTCAATATCAATATTTTGATTAATTTCTTGAGTTAAAAATTATTCATAATGATTGAATGTTGGAAAAAAAAAATTCATTTTTTTAAATTAAAATTTTGCTGTACTCAATGAAGAAGGATACATGAATTAATTTCGATTTAAGAAAAATTTATTACCGTAAAAAGTTCACTCAGCTGTTCAGACGTCGTTTTCTGAGTTCCTCAATAAGCTCAGTAGCAAAGATACCGACAAAATTAAGTACAGTATCAGACACAAATGCTGTTCAATGTTTTAAAGGTTATACATGCAATTTCTGTATACGATCGTATAAAAAATCATACAGCATTTATGTCTGGTATTGTACACATGCACTGAAAAAGATGTAAAAATAAAGGGGAACGTACATTCGGCTTCATTAAGGCTGGGCTGAAGCAGAGAAGAGAGACGTAAATAGAATCACAAGGGTGCCTCAGAATGCCCCGAATGCAATAAGTGCTGATGATGATAAAATCTACTAAAATCAAATTCCCTAGAGTTCAAATAATGAAATATAAATTAGAAAATGGCCCGTTTGCTATAATATTTTTTGTTAATCACTAAGAAAAGTAATAAGTTTTGATTCGTACAAATTTCATGGTATTTACATAATTGTATCGAAGAAAATTTTGAAGAACAAACTATTTGAGATAATTTCTCATAAATAAAATATTTTTGTGAAAATGGTTTATTTGATCCACACTGTAGACACTAGCGTCCTCTGAGAATCTACTGTCGATAAAATAGTTCACGTAAGATACATGATACAAAGAATAGTTCAAAACTAAAAGTGCATTCAAACGACAAGGAAAATTATGTCAGTGCAGTGGATGCAGTCTCATATTAGTTAATGTTGTGCTAAAATTCGACCAAGACCGAGTTAAATGGATTATATATTTATATATTTATTTTTACAAAATTTTTTCAATCAGTAGGAATTTCTTTATTAATATTTTTTTTACAAAAAACTTAAAAATTAAATGATATGAAAAACATGAGTAATAAAAAAAGAGCATTTTTTCAACTTTTGCTTTAAATTTGAAATTAATAAACAAAATAAAAATTAAATAAATCATTATTCTTTGAACTTTCAATCCAAACTTCCATGAATGAAAAAAAGGAGTTGATAAACTTTCATTTAGAATTATCAATTTCTTGCTTCAAACTACTAGCATCTTCATCGTCTTCTGTACCATTAACATCACCTTCTTTTTTATTAGCTTTTTAAAATTACTAATTACTTAAAATAAAGTATAGTACATGTCGAACTCTTGAAATACCTCTAAATGACTGAAATCTTCTAAATTTTGTACTGAATATTGTTTCTCGAATTTAAAATTTGAATCGAGTTTAGAAAAACAAAACAGGAATTAAATATTAACTGAATCATTTCAACTGAAGATAAAATAAAAATTATCATGGAATAATCGGTCAAGTTTAAATTTCCTCAGCTTCCCTAGGGTGACCCCGACAAACTGGGCATGTTATCCTTTCTTCTTCTGCTTCTGCTAAGGCTACAATAATTTCATAACAGTTTCTACATAAAACTGCATGTCCACATGGCCGGAATCTATAAAATGGGTCCCTTTCAGCACACGCTAAACAGATATCATCAGCTCCGAACCTGGGTGCTGAAATATGAAAAAAGTTTATTACCGATGAATTTGATACAATATACTTGCAATAGATAAGAAACAGTACCAGTAATTGAGAAGTAGAGAAGATGAACAGCATAAAGAATGAAAATTTCAAAAGAAAAGGTTCCATTACTGAAACTAAATTTAGGAAAGTTTCTTAGAAATTATTATTCACATGAAAATGAAGATTTTCAATCATTTTGTTTGAAACTCTTACCATTTTCGGGACGATGATTTGGCACATCGTGTAAAATTATTTCGTTGAAATTTCTATCATTTTCAATGAATCGTACCTCTGGTAAATTATGATTTAAGTGAACTAGTGTCACTAACTCAAAATCTGAATCAACTGTCACTTGATTAAATATTAAATCTTGAAAATATTCATCAATTAAGTTTGAAGAGACTGCTAAAAATGCGTTCCTGTCTATAAAATGTCCATTAAATAACGTCCACAATCTTCTTAATTTACTTCTTGAAGGATATATCTTTACACGAGCAGCAGCAACATAATTATTATCTTCTTCCAAACGATTTAAATCCTTGTGCATAGAGTTGAACCATTTTAATAATACTTTGCAAAGGTTCCAAATATTAAAATTATTATTCAGGTGTGATTGTGTTTTTTTCCAATTTTTATGAGAAACTTGACAAAATAAATCAAAGTTTTGATAAAATGAGTAATTATTTGTTCCAACAGTATTGATCCACATTTGGCCATAATATTTAATGAATTCTTCAAAATTAGAGTCTTTCATTTTAATCGGAAGATTATATGATAATTCAACAAAAGCAGGATAAATTTGATCGCTTGGTAACCAGCTCAAACAAATAAATTTTTTCAGCAATATTTGATGATCTCTATTATTAATTTCAAAACCTTCAATGTTTTTTGCACGGGTCAAAAGTATCTGTAATATAAATTCACGTTGTTCCTTTTTTTTTTTATAATAATTCAAAAACCTAATAAGTTATATAAACTTACCAGACAATGTGATGTAAACAAACCGTGGATGTTGACATTATCAAAAGTTGTTGAAATTGAGTGGTACAGATTTTGATTGAAATTATAATAAACTGTATCGATATTGATATTTGATTCTATTAGTTTATCATGAATGTTTTCAGCAATAACTTCATATATTGAAGTATTGTTATTGTTAATCAAATTCCATATTATTGGAAAACTCTGTAAATATAAAAATTGAAGAAAATGTATATTAATTTATGAGACATTATAAAACTATGTTATTGAATTAAATGTTACAAAAAACATACATAGTTTCGATGAGGTAAAATCCAGGTCATGATTGTAGAAATACCCATATCAGGTGTAACCAGAACTTGGTTAGTATCAACATATAAATCGAGCAGCTCATTATTTCTTGCTCCTATTTTTCGTATTAAACTATTATCAGTAATGACAGCTGCCTTTTTATCACGATGATTTACAGCAGTATTACAAAAATTAATTGCCAAGGATCCTCTCTCATACATCAATAAATTTTCATATGTTTGTAATTGTAAAAGAGCTCTGAATATTGACAGCGATTGAGGTTCAGGCAAATGATGGTCTCGTTGCCACCGATTCATATTATTCTTAACAGTGTGGAATGGCACTAATCCAGATGCATCTGGATGTCTGTAAAAGTTACATATTATTTAACTTAAAATTTCAATGTAAAATAAAGTAGATGAATTATTGACTTGTATGATCTATTGATCGTTATTATGGTGATTATTTATTTCTTTAATTTGCAGATATTCTTCAATTAGTTATCATGACTCAATAAAACTAAATTATCCAAAATTTTCATTTCTATACTATTTCAATAATGTAAAAAGAAATTTAAATTAATGTTTTTTATTGTTGTAGAGCTCTATGTACAATGTTCGAGCTATCATAATTATATTAATATTATAAAAAAGTGTGTCAAAATTTACTTACCTAATTGAAACTGCACGATAAATCGTCCGAGTATTTGTGAGTCGTCTCCTGCATTCTTCTTGTAATTCATCACGAAAGTTTTGTGTTAACACCAAATTATTGCGCCTAGGATGATTATGTTCTTTTAAAAGTTGAAAGACATTATTGACAATTTTACCTTGTCCCCTGCAAAAAAATTCTCGATATAATTGACATCGCAGCAATCTGAAAAGAGAGTAATTATAATCAATGATAATAAAATTATAAGCACACATTTCCAAGAATATACAATAAAAAGTAAACAAACTTATATTAATTTGCATTCTCAACTATCGTTTGAAAAGAAATAAATTTTCGTTCGGTTTTCTAAGAATTGTTTTGAAAAGAGTGCTACCAAAATGTAAAGATAAAATGTACATACAAATGAAGAACAACATGTAAACAACAATAAGTTGAGAATCTGTTTCTCTCTCACTCTGATGTAATATCCAGTAGAAACTGAATTCAAGTATAACATGCAATAATATATCGCGTTTCAAATTTAAATAATTTTTTGTTTTAATTGACAATACTCATTAATAGATAATAATTAGTTTTACATAAATATACTTACGTTGCATTGCCCACTTCTCGATATCGATGATAAGAATGTCCGTCAAATATTCTGTGCTCACGGTGGTGAATGATTGGTAAGGCCATGTTTACATAAATGTTCACGTAAATAATTAATAGAAAAGTTCAAAATATAAAATTATTTTCAAGAAATGTAGAGATTGATTCAGTTTGAAAATGAAGAAAGATACTATCGGCACTAGTCACGTTGAGAACATACGCATGCGTTTATACTGCCGGAGCACTACGAATGTTCTCGAGGTATAAAAGGACCGGCAATGTGTTGCCCGAATATTACCGATTTTTACCGAAGTTCAAATTCTATAACAAATTCGCGAATCTTCGATATTGCTCGGTTATATTCGATTAATGAAGATTAATAATACATGTGTGAGTTCTAAAATAATTAGACAATCATTTTCACGGTATTTCAAAGTGATTAATATGCAGTGTTTATCATTTCATCATGGACCAGGAGTCTCGGATCGAAGAAAATTAGAAAGCCAAATTTTTGATGGTTATTGTTATCATTTCTCTAAAAAAGTAAAGAATACATCGTAAGAACCAACTTCATTATTAATAAATCAAATTTTTTACAATGTTTATGCAATCACATTCGTATACATATGAATATACAGGTAGATCCTTATTCTTATGCAATAATATACTTCTTATAGATATCTGGTTTGTATCCAAAAAGATTCAAATTATTGTAAAGGTTCCGGAAAAATTATTGATGGTCGTTTTAATTCTCTCCACAAGCACAATCATCCAAAAAATCATTTATCAGAAAGAATGTACAATTTTGAAAAGGATTTACGGAATGAGGTTATTACGGATAGATTTAAATCAATTAAAATGATTTACAATGAATTAAGTTTAAAGTGAGTATATTCTTCTTCCTAAATATTGTTGAGTAATTTTTTTAACATTTTGTTATATACATTTCATTTTCACGTAATATGCCATGATCTTTAGGTATCCTGAAGTAGTCATGATAAAAACTTGGCTGGAAATGGAGCCGCGAATGCGTAAATGGCGTGAAGAGGTTCAACCACCAATACCTCTCATGTTAGAAGAATATCAAATGATTTTAGATGATCCTCAGTGGGCATTTTTATTCTCTAACAATGGTGACATAAATAAAATGCACGTCTCAACGATTAAAAGCACCGATGGCTCATGTATCACTATATACGGCAATGTTGAATTATTAAAATTAATCAATCCTCTGCATCTTATGATGGATGCAACATTTTCAGTAGTACCGAGAAAGCCAAAAGCTCATCAACTTTTTACTATTTTAGCTATAGTAAATAATACCGTACGTAAAATTAATTTCTTAATTATTTTGTTCAAGTAATCGTGTTATGAAAATTGAAATAATTCATGTTTCAAATTGCAGGCGATACCAATTTTGTGGAGCCTAATGGAAAAAAAAACTGCCTCGGCGTACACAAAGTTATTGAATTACTTTTCAACTATCCTTTCACCTCAAATACAGCCTACATTTATTACATCAGATTTTGAGGTCGCTTTAGCACTTGCAATACATTCAAATTTTCCTGAAGCTACACATTCAAGATGCTTTTTCCACTATACTCAGGTATAGTATACATGAGAATAAAGATAAATTAATTTGTTGATATACTAATTGTTTATTGTGATTCAACAGGCCATTACAAAACGGTTAAAGAAATTAAGATTGCTTCCTTTCCTTCAACAGTGTCGGATGGCGAGAGTCATCATGAAGAAATTTATAGCATTACCTCTATTGCCACCTGAAGATATGAGAGAAGCTTACGACTGGCTATTACAGAATATTCCTGAGTGTATGAAGAGTATTTTTCATAAATTCCTTACATATTATGACCGCCAATGGGTTCAATTAACACGGGCAGAGTGTTTGAGCGTATTTAAAATGGTACATCGAACAAACAACTTTTCCGAAGCATACAATCGACTTCTTACACTTCTATTTGGTGAACATCCTTCAATATGGAAATTTACAGGTGTGTATAAAATAATTAAGCTAAAACACACACGGACAATTATTTTTACAAGTATTTTTTAACTGATGATTTTATTTCAGCACATATAAATAAATTGCAACAGAATGCGTTATTGGAGTACAAAAGTATTGTAACGGGACATTTTACTCGAAAGTTTATGAAAGCTACAAATATTATTCGCAATGAGAAGCTAGTTTCATTGTGGGACATGTATCAAATCCGAATGCTAACTATACCTCAATTCCTATCTTGTGCGAGTTACGATTTAAAAGCTTTTTCTCATTATGAAAAAATTGAGGTACTGCAACCACCCGTATCATTGTTTGTTTATAATAAACAAAATAACACTTGTAAGTTTTTAAAAATTTATGTATATGTATGTAGATATTTTTGGACTTGTAATGTTTTTTTGTTGGATCTGGTAAAAACATGTATCAAATTTTTTTATTGATTTACTATTTAATTTTTACGTATGTATTAACTTTCCATTTGGAGAGTTGTTTATTCACCTTATTCATTGTTTTTAACATTTATTATAATAAAAATGCTTATGTATAAATTAAGACGTAAACCTACAGTTGTAGAAAATTATTTCTATTTTAGTTATAATAATTCATGATTCATTCTAGTCTGAAAATTTTTACAGATCCTTTGCAAGATCATTAAAGTCCTGATTAACATACAAGTATTAAAAAAAGTGTACATATTTTAACTTTAAATAATTTTTTCAGTACAAAATTTAGAAGATTTCAGTCATTTAGAGGTATTTCAAGAGTTCGACATGTACTATACTTTATTTTAAGTAATTAGTAATTTTAAAAAGCTAATAAAAAAGAAGGTGATGTTAATGGTACAGAAGACGATGAAGATGCTAGTAGTTTGAAGCAAGAAATTGATAATTCTAAATGAAAGTTTATCAACTCCTTTTTTTCATTCATGGAAGTTTGGATTGAAAGTTCAAAGAATAATGATTTATTTAATTTTTATTTTGTTTATTAATTTCAAATTTAAAGCAAAAGTTGAAAAAATGCTCTTTTTTTATTACTCATGTTTTTCATATCATTTAATTTTTAAGTTTTTTGTAAAAAAAATATTAATAAAGAAATTCCTACTGATTGAAAAAATTTTGTAAAAATAAATATATAAATATATAATCCATTTAACTCGGTCTTGGTCGAATTTTAGCACAACATTAACTAATATGAGACTGCATCCACTGCACTGACATAATTTTCCTTGTCGTTTGAATGCACTTTTAGTTTTGAACTATTCTTTGTATCATGTATCTTACGTGAACTATTTTATCGACAGTAGATTCTCAGAGGACGCTAGTGTCTACAGTGTGGATCAAATAAACCATTTTCACAAAAATATTTTATTTATGAGAAATTATCTCAAATAGTTTGTTCTTCAAAATTTTCTTCGATACAATTATGTAAATACCATGAAATTTGTACGAATCAAAACTTATTACTTTTCTTAGTGATTAACAAAAAATATTATAGCAAACGGGCCATTTTCTAATTTATATTTCATTATTTGAACTCTAGGGAATTTGATTTTAGTACATTTTATCATCATCAGCACTTATTGCATTCGGGGCATTCTGAGGCACCCCTGTAATGATTCACCGTTGACCATTGTGTGTATAGTCGGACTGAGAAGAGAGTTCCTCAGAAGCTCTTCATGTGTTCTTGTACGCTTGCGCAGTAGTAAAAAACATGGTAGAAGGGGTAGAAAATCAGTGGTGGGGAACCCGAAAGCATTGAAGCAACTGAGGAACTCTTTTCTCAGTTCGACTATAATAGACTCAGAGTGATTGTTGTATTGACGCCATAAACTGCTGTTCGGAGCAACAAACATTAAATATATTGTTATTTCACATTACCACAAAAACAAGTCATTGAAATAAAAACTTTGATAAAAATCTAAAAAAAATTTTTTTGTTCATCAATAAGTAAAGCTCTCTCATCATTTTTAGTGGTTCAAAGAATACTGAAAACAATTTTAAAATTATATCAGTTAGTAGCAACTATTCCAATTTGTTCTTTTTTTTGTTGAGCGATAAGTTAATTATTGAATTATAAAGTTACCATGAGTGTTAAAGTGGACAATGGTCAAATGCCAGCTGATGAAACAGTTATTCATTCAAAAATAGAAAGCCAAGACATCGGAGATGCTTTTGGTTATGGAAAGTAAGAAAATTATAGTACTTTGAGTGAAAATATGTATAGCGACAATTTTGATAAAACTGTTTTGTATTAGGCCTAGCACTCCTTCATATCCTCAACCATTGCAAACTGCACCTACTGAAAGATATGCTAGTCACTACAATATGAATCATTTAAAACGTGGTAAAGCCATTATTTTTAACCATGAAAACTTCAATATTGGACATTTGAAAGCTAGATCTGGAACTAATGTTGATTGTGAGAATTTGGTATCTACTCTTCAAGAACTCGGATTTGAAGTAACTGATTATCACAATCTAACTCACCGTGACATTGTTAGAAATTTAGAGCAGGGTTAGTATTCATTATTGAAAATTTAAATAAATTTTTAATTGTATATTAAAGTTTGTATCATTTATATAATTATTGATGGTTTATAAAAAAATTTTATTAGTTGCATCTATGGATCATAATCAACATGATTGCTTGATTATTGCTGTTTTAACCCATGGAGAACTTGGTTTATTATATGCCTATGACACTCCATATAAAGCCGATACTCTTTGGTCCTACTTTACATCTGATAAATGTCCAACACTCGCTGGCAAACCTAAATTGATCTTTATCCAAGCTTGCCAAGGAGATAGACTTGATGGGGGATCATCGCTCAAAGAAAGAACAGAAACCGATGGTCAGTCAGCTGTTTCTACATATAGAATTCCAACTTATGCCGATTTTTTAATTGCATACTCAACCGTACCAGGTAAAGTAATTTAGTATTGATTTTTAGTTATGAAATATAAAAACGTATTACAATAATAATTATTGTTGTTAGGTTTTTATTCATGGCGCAATACAACTCGTGGATCTTGGTTTATGCAAGCTCTCTGTATGGAACTTCGCGAGAATGGAACTCGTTATGACTTATTGACACTTCTCACATTTGTATCACAACGTGTTGCTATCGATTTTGAATCCAACACTCCAGATAATATAACTATGCATCAACAAAAGCAAGTTCCGTGTATCTCGTCGATGTTAACTCGACTCGTAAAATTCCCACCGAGAAATATAGTATCCTCGGAGACAAATGCAATTGGTAATTCTACGTAAATTTAAATGGTGCTTAAAAAAGTTGTGCCTAAAAGTTAAATCAGGTGGAAATCTATAAAATGCATTTACTTTTCTTAAACTTTAATTACAGACGAAGCATTTAGCAACCATTTCGAAAGTACTAACAAGTACTCATGACATTCGGTGCATTTAAGACAATCTTTTTTAGATATTTTTTTCTACAATTTTTATATCTTCCTATTGAAAAATACGCATTTATTCATTTCTGAAAGTAAAATTTTTTTTCAAGATTTTCATATGATATGTGATACAGAGGTAAAGTAGTAATTTTTTATGAAATAATTTACATATATATCAAGCAATCATTCCAAAAAAGAATCAAATTATTTCTCGATGCAATTTTTTATGTAACATTAGAGAATTGTAATCACAGTTGGTTTAAAAATTGTAATTCATAAATATTTTATACGTAAATCATAGTATTTGCTACAACAATATAATTAATTTTAATGTTGGAATTCTTCCAACAAAAAACTAAGTAATAATAATGAAAAAATTTGCCAATCGTATGTTCGAGTAACAAATCAGAAAATCGAATTGAATTTATTTTGTATTTCATTTTTTCAGTAACAATTAGCTGTTCAATATTTTGTTATTACGTTTAGTTAAATCGCATATATATTTAATATTTTGAAATAGACAAACGGTAGGAAAAAAAAAATTTACAAAATGCGAGTGTAATTTATTTGTTGAAATATTGCTCAAGAACAACGATAAGGCAGTATTTTATGCCTTAGAAACAATGTCTTTCAGATCACAAAAATGTGATAAAATTGCATATTAATTATTAATTCATAAGAAAATTGAAATATCTTGCCCTAAAAAACAAACCTCTTATATATCATACATATAAACGTACATTAAAATAATTTCTACGCATTTATACGTATATATATAATACAAATATCGATCGGATAAGAAATTAAAGAATAAGCACTTACATGTATTCATTTTTTGATATAAATATATTGATCTCGGTTTCATAATCTACGTATTATATCTAATTACAGTAAATATAAACGTTCTTAAATTTGTGATTATTGTATATTATATATAAATATATTAATAAATAAAATAAGATCAAATGACTTTTTTACATGGTATATTTATGGTATATTTGTCATATGGAAGATATTTTTATTTTTTAAGTACTTATGATAAGTCGTTATTAATGAATTTTTGATACAGGTACAAAATTCATAATAAAATTAAAAATAACTTAAGTTATCATTAGAGAGGCACTTGTCCGGGTATATTTGGTATAATAAATGTATTTACATTTCGTGATAATACTGGTGCAGTAAATGGTCGTACTGCTCTTGATTGATCTTTCATTCTTTTTGATATCAAATTTAATGGATCCAATGTTACAAATGCGACTTCGTCATTACTTTCATTCTCATTAAAATATTCTATGCTGTCACTCCTAGGAATCATCATATTATCAGACATTGGTGCAGTTTTATTTCTGACTAGAAAACTTTTTACTGACGATTCTCTTCTATCTTCAACATCTAAAATGTATAATACATTGATTTCAAGATTATTTTTCAATTATTGAATATTGAATCATATATATTTATTTAATAGGTTTACTCACGATTATTTTTGACTGCTGAATTTTTTCCACTAATCATGACTAACTCATTAATTGGTTTGAAAGGATTTGAATGTGTAGATATATGTGATAGAGCTATAGATGATATCGATGGCCTTTTTGAGCGACTACATGAATGATTATTTACAACAGAAATAGTAGGTTGAGATGTATTTATTCGTTCATCTAGTGTTGCATAATTTTTGATAATTGTATCCAATAACCATCTGGTAATGAAGTAAAACAAATTTGTAATTCAATTCATTTTAACAAATTTCGATTATATTTAGAATCATGTTAATTACTTATATCCATCAGTAATTCCCTGAGTGTTCGGCTTGAAATTTTTCTCATTAAATACACAGGCACAAGTTTCTACTCTTGTTGGACATCGCATTGAATTCACTGCTTTTTCAACATCTAGATTTTCCACTAGATCCAACTCGTCAATTGCTCCAATTACATCTTGTTTATTTGCTAATCTAAAAAAGATAAATTAAATAGTTAGGTAAAGATATGCCGTACGTGTTGCGTACTCATCTAATATAATAAAACAACATATAACTATTCGTGAATGTATGTAGATTATATATTTCGAAAGAATAAAGAGCATGTGCTTTAAATAAAAAGGATTTAGTGATGATCATCAAAATTCAAGTGCAACACTGTGAAGAACAAAAAATGATTAATTATTAATATCTCACAATAATATTGGTTTTCCTGCAATATGTTCATGCGATGTTAATTCGCCAAATACTATTCTATTTTCATTTAATCGTGAAATATCGCTGGCGTCCACCACATAAATTAGACCATGTATCTATAAAATTAATTGTATGATTGGGAACTAATATATGCTATGATATATGATTATTTGTTAGCTAAAACATTCATAGATATTTTGGTAATCATGAAAAAATAAATAAACATTAACAAACTTACGTCGTTGAAGTATTTTTTCCATATTGCTCTTATTTGCTTAGCTCCACCAACATCATAAACTTTTATTGAGTGACATTTATGTTTCAATTGAACTACCCGGAATCCCATTGTTGATATAACTCCCTCATCAAAATCTGATTATGTTAGACACATCAAATTACAGACATTTCCATTACTGCAGAAAAAATAAATTATCATTTCTTACCATGAGAAATACAGTTGAGAACTGATGTTTTTCCTGCATTATCTAGGCCAGTCATTAATAAAACAATATTCCTGTTAAAAAAAATAGATTAAAAAAAGATATAAATCACTCCAAAATTTGTGTATAAATTCTCACTTTCGAATAAGCCTTTTTCTCGAGTATATATTGTATATACTTCGTAGACAATTTCCCATTATAAATAATTATAAACCCACATAATTGTGTATGTAAAACTTTATTCTAGTTGAAACTGATAAAAATCATTCTACAAAATACAAAACTGTTTGTCTAGTCTGCCATATTGTTTTAGTATCTATCTTTGTCTCTTACTCATCCACACGCATTCACGTCAATACTCATTCATTTCATATCTTGTATTCTTTCTACTGCGTTGCCACTCAATCTAAGCATGCTTACAAAATTTAGTTTCTGATAAATATATGTACAAAACTATTGTATAATTATACAATTTTTTTATATAAATAATATCGTTGTTAACGTTTGGAATAATCGAAGAATTTCATCTTGTTGAATTATTGGTAAAAGTTGTAGTTTACTTTTAATATTTTTAAATAGTATTAACAATAAAATTAAAAATGAATTTTATCTTCATTCTTATTTATAATGATTGTTAAACAATATTTCAACTTATCTATTTAATGTTACGTTCAGTTTGTAAAGCAATTGCGATGTCACTCTTATTTTGACGTTTGAATTAGCGACCTGTTAATAATACTAACAAACTTTTGAGTTAGAAAAAATTAATTCAATTTCTTGACTGGTTAACAGATAATAAAATTTGTTGTTCAATAAAAATATCATCAGCTACACAAAAGTTTCATAAACGATGGATACAATTGATTTGAAATCATATAAAGTTGGATTTATCGGAGGCGGTAACATGGCTCGTGCTATAGGAATTCCATTAATAAAAAAAAGTATTATTCATTATGCATTTTAATAATTAATATAAAATTCAGATGATCTATTTATTTTGTTCAAGATTATATTTTTTCTAATTTTTCTAGATATTCTTGATTCACAAAACACATGGGTATCAGCAAAAACAAAAGAAACTCTCCGAATCTGGGAACAAATAGATCCACAACATCCAGTGAATACATCTTTAGAAAATTACGATGTTATTATAAATAGTGATATAATTTTTTTAGCAGTTAAACCACAAGTTTTTTTAACGGCTATTAATTCTGTACGGGAAGAATCTAAAGGTCGACCATTAACTTTAGAAAATAAATTATTTATTTCTGTACTTGTTGGTATTACGCTCAAAACATTAGAGCATGTAAGTTGCAAAATGAATAGTTAGTTACAGGTAAATATTAAATAGAAAGTAATTGAAATTGTTAATGTTATAAATGTCATCCAGGAGTTAAAGCAGTTTATAGATCCACGTCATCCTTTAAAAATTATTAGAACAATGCCAAATATGCCTTTATGTGTTGGAGAAGGAGTAACGGGTTAGTATATGAATGTATTTAAAAGATATTTTTAAAAAAATTTTCTTTATTACAAATTGAAATTACAGTATACTCACGAAATTCTCAAGTATCGGAAAATGATATAAAAATTTTAGTGAGTATGTTATCTCATATCAGTGTAGTAGAAGAAATTCCAGAATATCTAATGAATGCTGCTGGAGGATTAACAGCATCAGGACCTGCATACGTAAGTTTATTGTTTAAAAAATGAATTCGAAAAAGAGAAGTACAATTTATTAAACGGAAAATTTTCATTATTGTTTGCAGGCTTACCTTATCATTGAAGCTCTTGCAGATGGTGCGGTGAAAAATGGATTACCTCGAGATATGGCAACGAAATTTGCAGCTCAGGTATTAATTGGTGCTGGAAAAACAGTATTACAAACCAGAAAAAATCCAGGACAACTTAAAGATGAGGTTTGTTCTCCTGGTGGAACTACAATTACAGGAATTCATGCTTTAGAAGTTGGTGCAGTAAGAGCATCGTTAATGAATGCAGTCGAAGCTGCTGTTAAACGGTCAAGTGAACTTGGTAATTAAATGTGTTGTTTGATGTACTAAAGATAAAATTACTTTCTATGAATTTTAAATCATGGAAAATCGATTCAAAACAAAATATTTCAATTAACTTTATAACGGGTTGATGTATTTTTGATGATTGTTTAATCAAATGATTACAAAAATTTCAATAAATTATAAGATGACATTCGTCTATTTACATATTAACAAGTTTACTTTTACATTTTAATTTTGACTTTTAACGGTTTTACAATAAAAAGTTTATGAGAAAGTTCTATACTTGCGAATATTCTACACATCGTGATGGATCAGTTGGATAATATTCTTGACATTTAGTCATTAATCTTTTTAAAGCTTGAATATATTTTCGTTGGGTTTCATCATTCATTACATGTGCCACATTTTTCGAAAAAATTTTTTCTCTGCCCGTACGTGCGTGAATACCAACCATAGTTACTCCAATAGGCCAGGGTGAATTGCCGATTGCCATTTGAAGGTAAGCATCACTTGCCTAAAATAATGACAAACATTTTGAATTTTTATTTCTTCTCAACAATAATCCATCTAGTTAATAATGGTAATAGGATACTTACTAGAATATAATTTCGTTCCAACAAATGTTTTACAATTTCTGTTAAACTATCAGTAATATCTTCTGGCAGAGATTTATTCTTTAATTTTCTTAATAAAGGCTTTAAATATTCTCTTGTTTGTGCATAAGTTGCACTTGCCATTTTTCCTTTTGTACTCATTTTTTCACTACTACTACGACTATTTAATTGCCTACCCCACATTTGAACTAAGAATTGAAGAAACTGAGTAAGTAAATTCATGTCAAAGTCCTTGTCTCCCCGATTTAGTTTGACAGACATTTTTTCTATATCTTCATACGTAATTTCTTCATTGGGAATATTAACATCCCCTTTTCTATCATAATCATTAACTTTCGATGATGTTAACAATTCATTAAGATAGGCTTGATCAACTTGTTCCATTGCTTCCTGAAAATCATTTCTAAATCCTTTATTTACTTCTGGTTCTAGAATTTCGTGCTTTCTAAGTCTTTGAAATGATTCTAATTCAGATTCACCAAATAATATGATAGGTTCTCCTCGCTCACGTAATCTTCTTATAACCTCAGGTCGTGATAATTTTTGATGTTCTACTGAATTTTCAACAGACTCTTCTACTTGGTTTTCAACTACTGTGTTGATTGAAACGCTTTCACTATCTGTTGAATTTAATAGCTTTGTATCTTTAGATACTAATTCACCACGTTTAAAATATTTTTTATTTTTCTGGAAAAAAAATATTAATAAATTTTAATACACAAAATATTTAACAATACTTAATGTTAGTCAACTGTGAAAAATGTAAATATTTATGGTTAGTTACCAAAACATTGCTTTCTTCGAGTTGCTTTCGTTTTTTAGCTATTTCTGCTTTTAAAATATCCATGTCTAAATAATGATTTTTTTTATATGCACAAAATTATTGTGAATTGAAAAATTACACCAATAAAAGTTGTAATTGTATCATAGAGTTGAATTACGACCAGAGAAGAGAGACCAGTATAGAAGTCCAATGCTGTGTTAAAAATCCGGACGAAGTTTCGGCCAACATATCGGTATTGGGGTCAATATGTCGGTAATCTCAGGTTATGTCAGAACATGAAAGTTTCTGTGAACCCATCGAGCGATGGCGCTGCAACGGTTTATTTCAGCCACGCCCCTTAATCTAAGAGAGAAAAGAGATAAGATTTGTGTTCTCTTTTACTCTCATTACAAGAATTCTAAGCCAGTTTATTTTCAAGCACAAATTTTTAAATAGAAAAGGTCCAGCACTGTTCGCAACATACATAGAAGCTATAAAACCAATTTGATATTCTTATAACAGCTCAGAGGTAACACGCTCGACTACAGAAACGTAGGTTTTGTGGTCAAGCCTATCAATTCAATTATGCATAATGATAATGAGTCAAAGGCTTCGATAATGATATTTATAATATTAATAATATATTTTTAAAAAAATAATATTTAATAATATAACAGAATTTTTTTAAAGAATATTGGGACTGCTCGAAAGGCCTGGAACTTGGTACCTGAAGAGAGTTTTTTGTGGGATTAAGACTGTTGAGACAATAGGGGTCTTAGGGCGAGTTTCACCACATAGCAGACTGCTATTGTGTACCAACTTAAAATTTCAAAAATAAAAGAAATTACCATTTGTGCCATCTGGCGAGTTCTGGTGAAGTAACTTATGTTCTTGGAAAGAAATTTCAATATGGTTGACCGGCAAAAGTGATTGTAAACAAGAATAAGACTGAATAGGTAAATTTTACTCCTTATAACTTTTCTTTCACTTATTTTACAATAAATATTAGTAAGTATTATTACTGAATCATGTATTAGCTAGAAAATCGTTTATTGAACAAATGTAAATAAATAGTAGCAATTGTTATTAGCATAGAAATTGAAAGAAGTAAGGTTAAAGGCTCATTTATGTTCATACATTTGAATCAATGGAAATGAATGATTCATTTTAATAATGTAATTTCATTCTAGATTATTATTGAAATGTCACAAAAACATTATTCCGTTGATGACAAACTAATACTAATTGATTTGGTAAAGCAACATTCAAAAGTGGTGGAGAATAAGAGAACTGATGCAGTCGGAAATCTCGAAAAAGATGAAGCATGGAGTGTCATAACGGAGACATTCAACAAGAAAGTTGTATTCAAACGAAATACTGCATCCTTGCGAAACTGCTGGCAGCATATAAAACAATATGCTCGAAAAAATGCAGCACAATCTAAGCAACAAACACGTGCTACAGGTAACCTAATAATAAATAAAATCAATAATAATTCGAATCCAGACTTACTATCAATTATCATTAATACTAATTTTTACAGGTGGAGGTGTTAATACAGGTCAAATGAGTGTAATTGATATGGCAGCATTGAAAATAATTCATCCATTCTCTGTAGAAGGCCTACAGAATATATTCGATAGTGATGCTGAAAATGAATGTCCTAACAAAGTAGTGTTTGATGTAAGTTGAATTATTTTATTTTATTCTAGAATTTTTAGATCTTAATACATGTATTAATTTTTATTGAGTTTTCATAGATTTTTAGTTATTAATTGTGACACAAAATGATAATTTAAATAAGAAACATTTAGTTATTATTTTTTATAGCATTTACTTCAAACAAAAAAAAAATAGAAAAATGGAACAAATGGGACCCGAAGAAGTTAAAAGCATCATTGAGTGCTTCTTTACGTAATGCCGTCAGTAATGTTTCACAGCCAATTCCTAGTACATCCACGGGCATTACTAATGCATCAAGACAAAAGTGGTCTGCAACCGAATTAACGTCTCTTAAAGTAGAAGCTTTTCAATTACTTAAAAAAAGTTTAACTGAAAACCAAGCATTAGAAAAAGAATATCTAAAAACAAAGTTAGCGCGAGAAAATCTCGAACTGGAAATTCTAAAAGCTAAATGTTTTGGTTTGAATAAAATGAAAAAGAACAATTCTAGTAATGATAACATAAAGAAAAATATAGCTAGCCATGCTAAAGTACAAAAACCTGATTATAATGATGAGAATCAACAGACTGCTTCTCAGAATGATGATTCGATTTTGCTTAGTTCTGAATCCGATTAGAGGACATAGATATATGATATATTTAAAAACGAAAGTACAATTTTAACAATATAGTCTAATAACCAAATGTTATCGTTCAAGTATTAATTATAGTTCGTTAATTCGTTTTTAAATCTTAATATTTACATGTGAGATTGAGCATATGTTTCTTCTTAAACTTAAATGAAAGAATTATTTCATAAAATTTTATGAATAACGTTTAGTATTCTTTAAAAAAGAATGATCTATGTGCAAAAGTTTTATTAGTAGATCAGCATTTAATATGTTAAAAAACAAATTAGTATAAGAAAATGTTATTTAGTTTTGTGAAAAAAAATATATTTTTTATGCACGTGATGAAAGTATTACTATGCAATATGATTGTGATTCTAAGTCGATAAGTATTGCAAGTTCTATCATTAATAAATGTTAAATCATATTTAATTATTAATAATATTAGTATAAAACATGAAAAAATTATTAATTCGTAGTTTAGTAACTCGACATTTTGTATTTTTTTGAGTTGAAAAGATCTTAATATTACTTTTGTGAAAATGGCAACATGTATGATTAAAAAAGTTTAATATACACTGTATAACTTTATTATCACAGTTAAAAATAAATAAACATCTATAAACCTTTGTAAACGACATTCTTATTATTGCATTATCATGTTATTATTTTATCAAATCTTTTTACAGATAATAATCTAAATAGATGTATAGTAGATGTAATGTACACAATCAAAGCATATCAAAGATACCCATTCAAAGTAAACTGAAACAGAGTAGACTCAATAAATTACAACCCTGGCGGAAATATATCTACAACTTTCTACGTGACTCTACAACAAATTACAATTTTTGACAACATTTTGCATGGTTGTGTAAAATTGTAGTTTGTTGTAGATATATTTCCACCATGGAATATAATATAATAACCATAATATATATTAATTTTCGATACTTACTTATGAAAATAATTATTTATTATATGTCTCTGCTGATTTTGTATAAGTTGCTGATGAGTTTCAGGAATTTGATCATAAGCTCTTTGATTTATTAGCGATTGAGGAATTGCTCTTCTTGTCACATTATATAACACAGCGGATGCAATTATTGCATGCATACTCAACTCTGATTTAAAAAACCTGGAACCTATAGTTAAAACGGCGAACATTCGTCCCCAAACACCAAAACATCTCTCAACCATCGTTCGTGTTCGAATTTGTGACTCATTATAAAGGACTTCAGCTGGAGTCATAGGATTGTGCAATGGTGTCATAATAAATGGCACTTAAGAATATGCAGAATCACCTACAAGCAATGAGTTATAGAATTCACCGTTTTCGAATCGTCTTTTTATTCTAGAATTGTCAAATATGGTAGCATCGTGTGCCGATCCAGGCCAACGTGACACAATATCTATAATCTCCAATCTCGAATTGACAATGACTTGGGTGTTGATTGAAAAAAACGATTTCGTATTCCGGAATAACTCTGCATACTCTTCACCTGTAATATTGATACCTTAAATTGTAATAGTTTACATAATTGATTGAAATTATATACATGTATGTATATATCGCATTATAACAAGATGAGTTATTGTATATGAATACATACCATACGAACGAACCCGAACATGGACGCAATCGATAGCACCCAGGACACGAGGAAAGGCGGCTTGACTAAAATTTTGACTATGAATAGCTCTAATTTCTTGATGAGAAGGCGGTATATAGATGTAACATTCCCTCAATCCAGCAATTGCTTCTGATACTCTATGCACGATTCGCCAAACGCTAGTTTTGCTAATACCAGTAAAATCTCCTATTGTGATGTAAAATGATCCAGTAGCTAGAAATCTCATGGCTACAAGCATCTGGATCATTGGTGGAATCGCATTATTGCTGAAAATTGAAATGAATGTACATGAAATTGAAATGCCTAGAAATAATCTATTCATATGCGCTTAATATTAAATTTATTACATACAGTGGTGAGTCGGGAGTTATTCTTGCCTCTATTTGCTCAAAAACTTCCCTTGTCATTGCTTTGGTTAGGCGAAATCTTTGTACAAAATCTTCGTCATCAAAAGTATCGAACCAATTCATTCGAGGACGAATTATCCGAGGCCTTCTGACAATATCATCATCATCATCGTCAAAAAGAATCAGTAGCAAAAGATTATTCATTCTCCTGAACAAAATAAATCATAGCATACAGATAATATTTATGAGAAAAATTAATATAAATTGCAGTTACCTGCACTATATTGAGATAATTAAGAAGTTTATTTATCAATAAGTGATGATTAATGAGTGAATTAAGTGAAAGAAAAGTTATAAGGAGTAAAATTTACCTATTCAGTCTTATTCTTGTTTACAATCACTTTTGCCGGTCAACCATATTGAAATTTCTTTCCAAGAACATAAGTTACTTCACCAGAACTCGCCAGATGGCACAAATGGTAATTTCTTTTATTTTTGAAATTTTAAGTTGGTACACAATAGCAGTCTGCTATGTGGTGAAACTCGCCCTTATTGCCCGAGAAAAATTTTTAAAAAATTATATGTATACTGAATTCAAGTACAGAGATGATCGGTAAAAAAGAAGCGATGGACATGTAGATATTTCAATATGATATGTACTTGTTAACAAGTTCAAAATAAATCCTTTCATCTGTAAACTACAAGCGATTTTTCAGTGCCATTAATGCCTGGTCCATCAAAAACTTTGATACCATCCGAGCAATTATCGATGGAGTAGTTTTTTTTTCAAACAGATTCTACATCTAAATTAATTTAGAAAGTTTATGATTAAAGACTCTTTTAGATACATAGTCCCTATAACAATAGAATATCCCGACTAAAAAATTTTTAAACCGTTATTCACCGTACACATTCCCTATAGGGAACAGAGTATCGTATATGTAATCGTATCGTATACATAATGAATTTTAAAATTAAATTTTTGCAAATTTTATTATTTAAAATGTACTTAGGTAATGTGCAGTGCATTCTACTGTTGAAATCATTTTTATAACGTTTAGTTTTTTTTATTATGCATAATGAAAACTCATGAATTAATATTTTGATTCATGAGTTCAATCAAAAAATCTCACAGATAAATGGGCAAGAATCACTTAATACAAAAAACCTCAACAAGTTAGTTGGAAGAAAATAATCCAAACTACCATCAATAGAGACACCTTCCAATAGTTTAGAGGCCAAGTAATACCTGAAATTGGAACAATCTACTTCAATTAAAAGATTACATAAAAAAATAATTCAATTTTTTTGAAGAAGAGAAATCTGAAAGTCTCGATATCAGTATTGATAAATCAAGAATTAAATTATTTTTTTATTATTAATGATTCACCGTTGTTTGTAATCTCGATGTAAAATTACCACCTGACCCAAAGACGAGAATGACAAACACTTAAATAACAATGTCTTCCTTTGTTCTTTTGGTTAATGTATTATTTTTTTTCATCATATCCATGTATATTCCTTGACACGTGTACCTATCACTATTCAGTAGCTTATGAGATAATAAACTCAGTGCTGTTGAGCTGTAATGTAGTTAAAAACTTTTTATTAATTAACTAATTAGTGGATAGTAGCGGTGAAATTTCTTTATCGTAAATTACCCTGTGTTACGGGGGCCATTTATATTCTTGTCTTACGAGTGGTTATTTTTTCTACACGAAAATGTTTTGTTCACCCGTGGACCCAATAGCATTTGAGTTCACTCTCATAAATAGAGAAGACTATTTAATTGGAAAAAAATTAATAAGGATTTCGAACAATTTTCCCAAACTGCAACTAATTATGTAGAAGATGGTAAATATGGTAAATATAGAGATCAGAGAGAACAGGATGACAAAAAATATAGCAGTGAATTTGTAAGGTTTTTTTTTGATTTATATTATTATAAAAATTTAGTGTAACATTTAACTAACATTTTATTAATGTCATCAATTTAATTAACACGGGAAACTTTCAGTCCACAATTCATTTTATTTGATTTGATTAATTAATAGTTTTAAAATAAGATATAGAAATTGTAATGGTGAAGGGGTTGATCAACATTTCAGCCTTAGTGAATACATAATACAGAGTAAATTAGCTAAATAATTAAAACAAATTCTTCTCCATAATTCAAATATAGCGCGCTTTTCAAAATGCAATGTTACGTCATCTAAAAGTAAAAATAAAAACAATTTACATCATTTCGAACTACTTTAACATGTGGGCAAGGGTCTTTAATTTATAATACTGCAGATAACAATAAGTATCAAAATATTATATGAAACTTCTGTTATTATGTTTTCTATAATCTCATTAATGATTAATTGATTCTTTTACTCATGGTCATTTGTTAATCATCTTTATTTAATTGATAACAAGCTTAATTTAGCATTACTGCAGTATTTAATACTCCAATTGTAAATGTTTTTACTGAACAAAGTGTCTTTTTGTATTATTTGTAAAAACCTCTGTATGTACATAAATAGTCAAGATAATTTTATACCAGCTATAATCACAAGTATATTGTGGCTCAAGTTCAACCAAAAGTAATGAGTTTCTAACTAATTGAACTTCAATATTTAATATATTTTGATAAATTGTTTTTTTTTCTGCATAAAATCTTAAACAACAATGAGTGCAACGGTAACAACGCCTGCTAGTCCAAGAAAGTATGATATATTTATTCATTTACTAGATTATGCTACAGAATTATTCATATACATATAATATTATATAGATAATGACATTGAAAAATGTTTTTATTTATATTCAAGGTCAATGCTATCATCTACTGCTCGTCAGGGCAGCGTTTACGATTTTGATATCGATATGTTCTTAAAAATTTCTGATTATGAAGATACTGTTAGGCAGTTAGATATTTATTATGGAATTGGTAAGCTATTTATATAATTACTAAGTTTTTAGTTTTTATTAGACCTTATTCGTTATTTATTATCATTGTCATAATTCCTCTGTTATTACTACACCTCTAACATACTAATTATTTTAATGAAAATTACTACTTACAGTAAAACGACAACTTTTACGTTACCAAAGCTGTATTACTGGTTTGTTCCCACAATTATCTAATGACAAGACAGTTGCTAGTGTTAGAGAAAGTATTTATTGTGCAGCAGCAATTTGGAGTTTGTATCAAGCTTACAGACGAATTGATGATGATAGAGGAAAATCTCATGAGCTTGGACAATCTGCTGTAAAATGTATGCGAGGTATTTTAGAATGCTGGATACGGCAGTCAAATAGAATTGAAAAGTTTAAATTAAATCAATGTAATCGTCATTCTTTGCATTGTAAATTCAATCTTAATACTGGAAATGAAATTTTTGATGATGAAAATTACTTCCACTTACAGGTAAAGACATCACTTCTTTTTATTCTCATCATTCTTTTCAATTCATAATGATAGATTTGTTATTAATTTGCGTTTTATTTTAGATTGACGTAGTTTCTCTTTACCTAATTTTTTTGGTTCAAATGATTTCATCAGGCCTGCAAATTATTTACACACAGGATGAAGTTGCCTTTGTACAAAACCTAGTTTATTACGTAGAGAGAGCTTATCGTACTCCAGACTATGGAATGTGGGAAAGAGGAAGTCGTTATAATGATGGAACTCCTGAAATTCATGCCAGTTCTATTGGAATGGCAAAAAGTGCGCTTGAAGCAATTAACGGATGCAATCTTTTTGGAGAAAAAGGAGCATCTTGGTCCGTTATTTATGTTGATATTGATGCTCATAATCGTAATCGAAGTATTTTTGAAACAATGCTTCCAAGAGAATCTAGTTCAAAGGTAATAGATTTAAGAAGCACAGACGTTAAATTTAACTTTTCTTTAATGAGATTTTTTCTAGAGTGTGGATGCAGCATTGCTGTCTACAATTTCATTTCCTGCGTTTGCAACTCATGAGGAATATTTATATACTGAAACAAAGATAAATGTTACACGGAAACTAAAAGGAAATTATGGGTTTAAGAGATTTAGTCGCGATGGATATAAAACTGTAATTGAAGACCCGAAAAGACGACTATATAAATCTGGTGAAATAAAAGTAATCACATGATTTATTTTTTAATAAAAAATATGAATTTACATAAGTATTTTTATTGCAGGATTTTGATAAAATTGAATGTGAATGGCCGCTTTTCTACATATTTATGATAATTGATGGAGTTTTCAAATCTTTACCTGAACAAATAGACGAATATACGAATTTATTAAAAGGGCGAGTGCATAAAGATGCAGCTGGGGGTAAATATATTTGATCATTTGTAACGTCATTTACTTTATGTAGTTTTAAGTAATAACAATCATGTGTTTACTTATTTTTAGATCCTGTTATCCCTATGTATTATTATGTACCTGAAAAAAATATTCTTACTGAAAGAAACGATCCAGGAAGTACTTTCCGCGTCGCAAGTATTGAAGGTAGTGGTACAAGAGTAAGTGGAGAAAATGAAGGTGTTTTATATCTATGGAATCAAGCAATGTTTATCATCGCACAATTACTTACTTCTGGATTACTTCATATCAATGAATTGGATCCGATTCGTCGCTATCTTCCATCATACAATAGGCCTCGAAAAGCTGGAAGATATTCTGCTTTTCAAGTAAATTTATTATTAATTTTATATGCTGGTAGCAATTTTATTATAATTATTAAATTTTTATTATGAACTACATGAAAAATTAAGTTTAAAAAAAATAATAATGATTTTACTTTTTTCGAATTTCGAACAGGCCAAACCCACAATTGTAAGTAAAATTTTGTCTATGACTAGCCTGTGGACGTTATTTAACTTTGTAACTTTGTTTGTGACTGTATTATCCATAAAATAACTAGAATAGTACTTATCACTAATTATCTATTATTATTTCATATTCAAATTCTATATCTATATTATATACTCCAAGATCATTTAAACCCAAATTAATTTTCCTAGCAGTATGATTTTTTTTACAACAATTGATAAATTTAATATTGCCTGCATTGTCGCATGATTATAATTTTGTCTTGCAGTTATAGAAATAAATTAATATTCTGAAATTAATTAATTCTAAATTATTTTTTCATTAACAGGGTACTCATACAGATTTAGTAGTACAAATAGTTTTAATTGCTGAGTCAATGAGGCTTCAAGCAATGATGGCTACCTACGGAATTCAAACTCAAACACCACATGAAGTAGAACCAGTTCAAATATTATCATCCAGCCAATTAATAAAAGTTTATCAGAAACTTGGTATTAACAAAAAATTAAATTTACAAGGAAGACCTCCAAGACCTATTGGATCATTAGGAACAAGCAAGGTATAAAGTAACTGTTTGTTATTCTGTTTAAATGTTTTTTTATTAATTTGTTGTATAAGTCAACTTCATACATATAATTTTCAATATTTTTCAGGTCTACCGAGTTTGTGGAATGACTGTGCTGTGTTATCCGTTAATTTTTGAAGTATCTCAATTTTATTTGTATCGTGATATGGCTTTATTAATAGATGATATTAAAACAGAGCTCAAATTTGTTGGAAAGTATTGGAGATTGTCAGGACGTCCTACAGTTTGTCTTTTGATTCGGGAAGAACACATGAGAGATCCACAGTTTAAAGAAATGCTTGATCTTTTTGCTATGTTAAAAAAAGGCTATTGCGATAGTACCAAAGTTAGAATAGGCCGGCTCCAAAATCTAATTTCTTCATCATGTATAGGTAAAAATAAAAACATTTATTATTTCAGTCACCTATTAAATGATTTACAATTCTTATTAATTATTTGCATTGCTTTTTCACTTTTACAGAACATTTAGACTTTGTAGGTTCTATGGAGACCGACTTAGAATTGAGTCAATTTAAACAACTGAAGCATGATTACATAGGATACCAAAGTCTTACTGATGTACCAAGATCTTTATCTCATGTTGAAGAGGTTCGGGATTATTCTAAATTATCTAATGAGCCTATTCATGTCATTATAAACGAACTTCGTAATGCTGACGGTTTATATGCGAAATGTCAGCTGTATGGAATTATACTAAAACGAGAAGGAATTAATTATGAAATTAATGGCATGACAGGTAATTTCCTCTCTGCAAACTTTTTTACATGTTTTTGGAACTTATTACATCGGAAATAACTGTTGTTATGAAAATATTTTCAGTTGGAGATTATTTAAGAGCATTGTACCAACAAGCCGGAAGCCTTAGATATTGGATGGCAGTACGCTATTGTAGTAGTTTACTAAATCATACTGTTGATAGCATAAGCCCCTTCATTACTGGGGTTCTTGTTAAAGGAAAACAGATAACTGTTGGAGTAATTGGTCACGAAGAAACAGTATTTGATAAGCCAATGACTCCTGCAGAAATTCAATCTGTTGTGTATTCAACTATTCAACCACACAATGTTGTACAAGCTGTTCTTCAGCAGGAGGTTCTTTTGTACTGTGGTCGTTTGATTGGGACAAATCCGGCGATGTTTAAAGGAATCCTGAAAATTCGTATTGGGTAATTATTCTTCTATTATTTTGATTTTTTACGAATTCAATAATATTTTCTGAATTAAATGATGTTTTAGATGGGTATTAGAAGCAATGCGGCTTTATCTAGCAGTATCTGTGAAAAATCCGAAGCCTATTGAAAATTATAGTCCTTATGAAATAAGACGTATTTTAATTAAAGTATTGACTGTCAAAGATTGGGCTTCATCTGAAAAGTAAGCTATGAATTTTGGTGGTAATATATCAGTAATATTTTTATATTATTATTTTATGGTTTTCTGTGTTCAAAGTTTGACTGTAATTATGCGAAGAAAAATAGAGGGAAGTCTCTGTAGAGTTCCATCTCACTTTTATAATCAAGTATGGGAAGTACTAATGCAATGTCCAGGTGGTATTCGTGTTAACGGTCAAGAGTTACCACAACAACCAACTCTATCAACTATGACACGTTCGGAATTAACATTTGCTCTGCTTGTAGAATCTATTCTTCATCACATATTATTACCAGAATATCGACAAATAGTTGTCGAGGTATGTAATTAAATAATTACCTTATTTTAATATTACTATTATTAGTATCAAACTGATAATAATATTCAATTTTTTCAGTTGTTGAATATTGTAGCTACAATTTTGCTACGTAATCCAGAGTTAAGTTTCAAACATGAGTTAGATTTGAATAAATTAGTTGAAGATGCCTTTGTAATGTACAGTAAAGATCATAACATGGAAAAATCCGATGATATGTCTTCCTTCTTCGATGCTCATTATTCTGTTACAACTAGCTATCTTGCGAGATCTGTAGTTAATAATGTTTTAACAGGAGGCTGTGTAACAACTAAAGTCGATTTAAATGATTTTAAAGAAGGGTCAACTCAAGAAATGTGCAACATTTCATAAAATATTAATATAAAAGATGCATATATTTCATAAAAATGTATTTTTGCCATGAATATTTACGTTTGTTTTTACAGAATTGAATATCTTGTACGTACCTCAAAAATTTGTTATTTAGTCTATTAATCCAGTAGTTGATAGTACTATTTTTAAAAGTAATAATCAAAAGTACCAATTATTGAAATACTCAATGTTATGTTTACAATAGTACAAATATTCGAATTTTATTGTACTTTTGTTTAATATAAAAGAATATCAGTGCTCTGCAGTGGTCTGGGTGCGATCCGAAAGGTCTACACGACCAATTTCCCAGTGGAAAAATGAAAAAACAAGTCGAATAGAACCCGTTTCCATTCTTTATAACAAATGGAATTGTTATAAACGAAATGAGTCTGTTTTTATTCATTTGATATGGTTAGTTACTTTATTTCAGTAAAAGAAAAAATTGTGCGTTAGAAGAATTCGAATATACCTCATAGATCTTTTTTTTCATTATTTACAACAAATTTCATTGTCATCCACGAAAAAAGTATGTTTTCATTTATGTCATACGGTTGGTAACATTTTTTTAGTAAAAGAATAAATTATGCGTTAAAAGTACTCATATACATATATAAAAAGGGTCCCTATTTTTATTGTTTATAGCAATTTAAAACTTATTATTTAAATATTACTATGATCAATAATCACTTGTTAGTAACAATGTTCAATTGTTATGAACACAATTCCATATTATTGACAATTATTATTGACTATTATAGCGTCTTTAATGCTGTTTTCTCAATCCTGACACGAGTTTAAAATTCTTTCATGGCTGATTTTGTTTTTCAAAATTTTTTTTTTCGATGAAATATTGTCACCATATGTTCATACAAGTATTCTAATCATTCAATATTCATATTTTTTTAAAGATTTCGAAATTTTGTCTAAAAAATGGTATAATTTTTGCTGAAAATCTAATCAATTCTAAGTTGTGCAATTACGTGTCGAATGCAATTGGTCCCACATCAATATCATTTTTTGTTCTCGAGATAATCGAGGCGAAAAATAATTCCGAACGCACATACGTACATACACACACAGACGTCCACTAAAAAACGATCGTATTCGACTCTGGGGACCTTGAAACGTGGAGATATGTCAAAATTTGGGATTCACAAAATCGGACCCATTACTATAACTTCCCACTGGGAAGTTAATAAATTATACTTCACCGTGAAAATGATTGTATACAATCGAATTTTTTATATCATTGCATCCAGGCTGTTGAACTTCCCCATTTGGGAAGAAATCAATATGTCCAATAAGCTTGAAAAGTCCAAAATCTTCAGCTTCATTAGTGTGAATGACATTAACAAGATTGGCATCAGAGGAATTCAACTTTTGTGAATTCATCTTTCTCGTAATACATGTCGACGAAAGAATGGAGAAGCTGGATCCAGTCCCGTTATGCGACCAATCAAAAGCTTTTTAGTATTGAGTACTTCAGATGCACATCCTGCCACGTGTTCTCCAAGTCTGAATCCAATGACATGAATGTTTTTTACTTTTGTTCCTAAATTAATAGCCCCCAACAGAACTACAGCTAACTGACGACCAACGAGTTCAGTATTTGCTATAGCTATTTGATAAGTTGCCCTCTGGTCCAATCCAATATGATAACATTCATATCTTCCTAAAATGAAATCTGTATTTATTCTAATTGATATTGATTTAATATTATTTCTTATTTTTAAATAAATTTTACATGCCGATAACATTCTAATAAATTTATTTATTGTAATCTAATATTAATTATATTTACTTTAAAATTAATAATAATAAACCATTTATATATTAATAATCTCAAAAGAGAAACAACTGTTCAAATTCACATTCATCTTTCACTGGCTGTATTCTCTTAGTTACCTTAACAAATTTACTTTACCAACAATCAATTTTTAATATCAACCGTCGGTAATTTTTCAATTTAAATGCAGTTACTATAGTGTGTGGGCCAAATGTCCCTTGGGGATATTGTTATTGTTCTACAATTTTGATTGGGCTCTTTTGTAAAAGTTATAAATAATTTTTGGTAGTTTTATAATTGTATATTAAATAATTTAGTTATTTTTTATTATGTAATTAAAACAAGTTTAGTTATTCCTATCAATTTTCCTTATTAATTATAGTTTTAATTATAATAATAATAAATATACAGTGGACTTAATACCAGAGAGAAGACTTCTCTCTGCTTAATACTATGAAGGGATTTTTATTTTTAGATCTTTTAATATGGTAGGCCTTCTGCTCTTTTCAATTACCTTATGGCACCCTGCTGAAAAATCTCTCAGCTGATTCTTGAAGTGTTTATATTTTCGTAAAGCTTGTTAACTTATCATTCTAAATATTTTTGTAGTGCAAATTGAAATATTAAACAATTCAATTCATCGCAACGATGGGTGGTGGAGATTTGGTGAGTACATAAAGATTTGTACTACTGTTTTTTAAACAATTGATCGTAGCTCATCAACAAATAAACTTTTTGAAGTTTTTTTTTAATTGGAAGCTGAATTTATGCCAAATATATAAACAAACTCAGCATTGATTAAGTATCATTACTTTTTTATATTAAAAATAAAACATGCATAATGGACAACTCTATCAAGTTTGCATGTTTGTTTTAATATGAAAAAACTTAGTATAACCTTAAAATGATGGAACTTTAATTTTTATTATCCATTAAATCCAAGTTATTTAATATAGTATAATTTATGGTTTTTAGAATTTAAAAAAATCATGGCATCCATCAACAATGAAAAATATGCAAAAGGTATGGAAAGCTCAACAACAAGACAATCAAGAAAAGAAAAGAATTGCTGAGTTAAAGAGAGATATAGAAATGGAACGAGATCAAGAAGATATGAAAAAATATGCAATGGAACAAGGAGTTATTGAAAAGAAGGAAGATAGAAAGTTAGATTGGATGTATAAAAGACCTAATCAAATAAATAGAGAAGACTATTTGACGGGAAAAAAGATCGATAAAGATTTTGAACAATTTTCCCAAGCTGAGAAAGATGCTGAACGTAATAGAGCTGCAACTAATCATGTAGAATATGGTAAATATCGAATATTTATAGGCTAACTCATTCAATATTTGATTTGCCCTAGTAAACAGTGCTTACGTACGAAACAGTGAAAATAATGAAATACACTGCAAAATCAGTAAATATAACACAACTGATTCAAACAGTGGTTCAATTTATATTGCAAAATCAATTAATATTCACTGATTTTGCAGTGTATTTCATTATTTTCACTGTTCTATTTTCAGAGAGTACAGCTTACGTCAGAGATTGAATAATATAAATTTTTGATGATTCCAAAGTTGCAATGATAATGTGCAATATCCCACTTAATGATGTGTTAGAATTTGTCGGAAATTATGAGTTTTTGTCGGTTTGTTTTACCAGGGTAATAACCTACCCAACAATCCCAGTTAATTCTCATAAGATTGGAAAATATAATTCAAGATCATATTGTTCCATAAATTCTTATAAAAAATTATACACCGCTTCTCTCTCATTCTGGTGAAATTGTTTTATTTTAGAATGTATTCCACCTTCATTAAGGTCATTTACTGGTAATGAACAAGTAGATTTAGCTCGAAAATTACAAGAAGATCCTTTGTATGCAATTAAAAAAAAGGAAATAGAATCTCGAAGTAAACTTTTAAAGAATCCAGTAAAATTAAAAAAACTTCAAGCACTAGTAGTAAGTACTTCAAATTAATTTCAATTATTTCATTCTGACATTATCAAAAGTGTAATATTTATTTCGTTGTTTAATTATAGAGTGAAAAACAATCCAGCAGTGGACCTTTATTTAAGCATAAATCTAAGAGTCATAAGGATTCATCAAGTAGCACGAAAAAAGATGATCGACACTCTTTTAAAAACAAAATTCTATCTGATAAGGAAAAATTAAAAAAGCTTAAAGAGATGATGGAAAATGCCTCTTGGCGTGAAAAGGAACGTAAGAAAAGTGTGAAACGATATCAAGAACAAGCAAAAAAAGATCAGAGAGAACAAAATAACAAAAAATATAGCAGTGATTTCATAAGGTTTTTTCTCATTTATATCATTAAAAAGATTTAATGTAAAATTCAACTAACATTTTATTAATTTCATCAATTTATTTATAGAAAACAACTAGTGAAAGCCACTGAAGTTAGTACTGTCGCATCTAGGATAAAATCTAACATGAATAATATCCAACGATCTGAAAAAGCAATGGACACAAACTTTGCCAAAAGATAACGTAATATATTTTAGTTCTACAATAAAATTATAATGAATAATATTAATGGTAATGAATCGATAAAACATTCGCAGTGAAATTATAATTTTAATTGATACTAAATATGATGAATTTAAAAATTATTTTAATAGCAAATATCTGATTTGTTTTATTTTTTATTTATATCGTAGATTACAATGATAAATTTCTATCATTCGTTGCTGAATTTGAAAAATACCCACTGCCACTTTTGAAGTAATTAAATTAGTAGCTTGGTTGAAAATAATGGAAAAAGATAGATGAAATAAGTTAAAATTTATTTTATATTAAACAAAAGTACAATAAAATTCGAATATTTATACTATTGTAAACATAACATTGAGTATTTCAATAATTGGTACTTTCGATTATTACTATTAAAAATAGTATTATTAACTACTGTATTAATAGACTAAATAAAAAATTTTTGAGGTACGTACAAGATATTCAATTCTGTAAAAACAAACGTAAATATTCATGGCAAAAATACATTTTCATAAAATTTATGCATCTTTTATATTAACATTTTATGAAATGTTGCACATTTCTTGAGTTGACATTTGTTGTTATTTAATATTTTGATACTTATTTTTATCTGCAGTATTATAAATTAAAGACCCTCGCTCACATGTTAAAGGAGCTCGAAATGATGTAAATTGTTTTTATTTTTACTTTTAGATGACGTAACATTGCATTATAAAAGCACGCCATATTTGAATTATCGAGAAGAATCGCTGCTTAAACAATCCTACTGGAAGGACGAAGTTCAATAGGGAAATTTCCTATTGAAGATATTTTTCTATAGAAATTGCTTGTATCTTATTCAGTTATCCTATGGGGAAACGCTAATTACTATTCCCATTGAGGTATGTAATGCTGAATTCTCTTTAATTGCCCAATAGGATTTGATAGAATTCAATGGGAATATTGTGGTTTCAGAATTTCCTATTAAATTAAGGGTAAACCTATTGAACGTTTCAGGAAGATCTTATTACCATCTTATTACCACAAAAAAAAAATCAGTTTACATAAGAGAAATTTTATAATTCGCTCTCGAGGTTTTTATTTATACAGATTTGTTGTTTAAATATACACTTCCAATGGAATTTATTAGAAACTTTGCTCAAAAAAATCCTGTTTATGTTGAGATTTGATCCTGGTATCCTCGGGTCCACAAGTCCAGTACGCTAATGACTAAGCTATTCTAATTAGAATGTCATGTCTTCATGTTTTAATGACTTTTGCCTAATCAGTTTGAGTCGAACATTGATAATAATTCAAACATTAATCACGTTTGCTTCTTATCAAGCAGAAAAAAAATAATTATAATTTGTAAAATTTGACAAGTAAAATGCAACTCAGAAATTATATTTTTTTCCAATATTTCGTGATAAGATTTTATATTATTCAAAAGAAGAACATTAGCACAATTTCAATAGCAAGTCGATGGATTCAAAAGGAAAATACAACGAAAAGGAATATACAGCATAGAAAATATTTTCTTATTGCCCTCGATGCTTTCATAAGAATTTGAGCATTTAAATAGGCTCAATTTGTACATGTTTCTATAGGAAGTAAATAAATTAAAAAACAAAATACGACTTAGCACTTTGTAGTGGCACTATTCTTCAACAGGATTTAATATTTTCTTACACGGAAGATTTTATGAGGAATGAATAGATTGAAAAGGAAAATGTGACTTAGAAAATATTCTTTCATCACGATATTCCCTATTAGGATTATGGAAATAATTTTCTGGCAAAGCTCTGCTAAAGCTCTGGTAAAACTCGAGCAGAACTTTGACAAAATTGTGGAAAATACCTGAAATCTTCTTAAGTATTTTCGACAATTTCTCGTAACTCTGTCATAATTCTGAAAACAATTTGACAATTTGAACATCTTTAGAATTTGGCTACAATTATTCTGGAAAAAGTCTCAAAAATATCTGATTTTTTCTCAACTTTTTTCTGGCTTTTTATTGATTTTTTTATGACAAAAATTAGAAAAATTCTAAAATTGTCCTGGCAACATTCTGAAATTTTTCTGGTAAAATTTTGGAATTTCAAAATCAATATAATCGACTTTTATCTAGAAAAATTTTGAAATATTTTAGGAGACGTCAGACTTTTTCTTGACTTTTTTCAATCGCTTAAGAAGGAAATCAATGTTATAGATGTCCAATGTGCGGGACAATTGTAACGAGAGTTGATAAGCTAACACTTGAGTATGAGTTGCAATTTTATTTTGTATCATTTTATATCCAATTCAAAAAATATTTCATTTTTTCAAGGAAAAATGTAACTATGTATTGCTTGATATGCAATTAAAAAATTTTCTCATTTTCTTTTTAAGGAAAAATATGATAATGTGTTGCTTAATATGCAATTTAAAATATACTTTAGTTTGTTTTTGACCGAAGAATAAGATGTTTTATTATTTAATAATAAAATAAAGCCAATGATGGCAAAAGTTTTGTCCAAGCTATCATTTTCCATACTTATCCAATGTAGTAGATAATACTTGTCAGCGTATATGTTAAAATATAATTAGAAATTCTTAATTATGGTTATATTTAAATTGAAAATCGATATGATTGGAATGATAGGATCGTTTGTATTTGTTCCGAGCTCGTACATACTAAATACGCTTTTTGTTGACTTACCATAGAATATCTACTTTATCAATGGTCGGAAAAGAAAATATTAATGTCAAATACATGATAAAATTGTGACAAAACGTTCAATTTACAATTTCTCATTATTTGTGGTGTTTTACGACGTTATACCATTTCTGTGTCATACAAAAGTCGTTATTAATTTACTGTTATTTTATTTAATTGTAGATACGTTTTTTAAAAATAATATTAGATAATATTCAGTTGACGTCTCAACTTCTAGGAACTTTTGTTTTTACATTTTAATATAGCAGACGTTTATTGTTTTCGGATCACTATATAGCACCTTAGATAGATAATTTACTTTGGTTCCAATTAAACCATAAATAAACAAATTAATTTAAGTACTTCAAAGACTAATTACTTATCAATTTAATTGGATTCTAGAGACTTCATAACGTCGAAATATACCAATTGTGATACTCCAAAATATAGACTCCAAAATTATAAGTTTTCATTTGATTTTACATTGTTAATAACTATTAATTTAAACGTGAAATAAGCCTTTTGAGTGTGTATAACAAAATAACGGATAAATAAGGCGAATAAATTATTACATAAAATATTTGAGATCCATCTTTAGTGAGAGGGCAAAGTAGGTAACAGTCATAGCCTTTATTAGACTTCAATGCTTTATTTTTGAATATTGTTTTAAACATTTATTTCACTAAAATTTAATACATTAATACCTTTATTTGTTGCGTAGTAGTATTAGTAGCAGTAGCACATATAATAGTATCTGAGCGTCCTCAGAGTAGACTAGGGCTTTTTGCTGATGTATATCTATACTACAAAAACGACGGGGAGTCCATAACCAGCAGTTGTGCTTGGTGGCTCCGATTCGTTTACTATTTAATCAACCACTGAGACGAGTGAAGGCTTTAAAACGTGTACAATACACCACAATTTAGTTGAACAAATTATATTGGAGCCGGTCGACAACAATAAAACGTTTTTTTTTATTTTAATAACTTGAACAAAAATAGTTGAAAATGGTTGTGAAAATTTATATATCTGGCATCAGCGGCAATAAGGAAGTGAGTGTGAAATCAATTGTGATACTTTAGATTATAGAATGTAAAATGGACTTTGGGCAGTACCAATTCCGAATAGATAGTCACTCTTATGACATTTCGTGATCCATACGCGTCGTCAGGTGTATCAGATTACCGTCTAGCCACATTATTGTGCGATATTTTTTCATTTAGAGTCATCATAAATTCTGCTCTTCAGAAACTTGACTCCTGCATTGATTTTTTGGTTAGAAAATCCCTGATTTAAATCAAAAATTTTTGTTGTGGTTTTCCTTCCGCCTTATTCTATAGATGAAATGAAATTATATTGTTATCATTGAAACTTTTTTTATTGATAAAATTTAATTGGAGAGACTTTTATTGTGAGATTGGATGCTCAAGTCTATTATTAATAACGTAAAGTGATTGGCACATCCAAATAATTTGATAAATTAATTTAATAGTCTTCATGTCATTGATTTGTCTTATTTCTACCAATATATAACTGTACAAAATAGTTTATTTATAAATTATAATTGATTTATGCAGTTTATATCTTTTATTCTGACTCATATAAAGTTTTCTCATTCATGACGTCATCATTTCAGGTGAAAAAAAGACAACAAAGGGTACTGATGATTTTAGACAGTAAAAATGTTCAATATGAAATTATTGATATAACTGAACCTGGTAAAGAAGATGAAAAAGAGTTTATGCAAGCTAATAGTACTTCAAAAGATAGTAAACATCCATTGCCACCTCAAATATTTAACGATGAAGACTACTGTGGAGTAAGTATTTGTTTCGCATACTATGTTTTGCAAACAATAGTTAATATTTGCTTATCACGAAATCATTTTTGAATAATTATTAATTGGTAATTTATCACCACCTTTAGGACTATGAAGACTTTGACTTAGCTAATGAAATAGATGAATTAGAAAAATTCTTAAAATTACTCTCATCTGAAGACTCAGTAAATCAATCACTTGATGAAAGTAAGGTTCAGAATACTAGTATTCGACAAAATGGGAATACATCTAGTCGAGAGGTAATTTATTCAAATATTTATTCATGTATGCATTCATTAATTCTATTTTTCAAGATAATGAATATTAATAATTTATTTTCTATCATTAACTAAATCAATTGATAATAAATGTAAATGATCTTGATTCATTTTATTTATAATTAATATTACAGTTATTTAATATACTTTAAAATTAATTAATAATTTAATTAAAAAATGAATTATTTTTTATTTATAGGCGTCAACTGATAAAGACGTAAGCATCGCCAATGTAGTCAGGTAAATATTTTCAAAACTTTTTATCGATCATTTTAACATGCTTCGAGATCCAATTCATTCAATTGATTCGCCTAATTCCTTTAAATTAATTTATCTATAGTGATACGGAAGAAAGACGAAATTCAAACACTGAAGATAAAGAAGAGGATGCAGATAAATCAAAGTCCTCTGAATTAGATGGAATGGAAGAGAATGGAGACAAGAACGAAGAGAAATCAGATGATCAAGAGAAAGAAGAATAATGAGATCAACACTAAATGGGTATTTGACTCAATTATATTTTTTGTTATGACTTTGAGGTAATAATTCCATCGGTAAATATTTTTTTACCAAGATCCCCTTAATTATCATTTAAGACCAAGTATCAAAATACTGCCAACAAACAATATACTTTATATGTCCGATGTATTGTTTCTTCTTCTCTATCATTTATGATTATCGCCAGTTATTTTGTGCTGACTGCAGTTAAACTATAATTTATTGTTGCGCTTGGAATTGATTTAATTATTCATTTAAATGCAATATAGAAAGTAGGGAATTATCTCAAATAATTTAAATGAAAATACAAAAGAAGAATATTTCAAAAGTCGCGTAAATTGCAAGTAGAACTTCTTATTATAATGAAAAAATATAAAAAAAAATTAAACTGTATTTGTACAAGAAATTTTATAAAAATTTCTATTAAAAAATCAAATGGAGTGATTGAAATTGATAAGAAATAGAATTTTATTATTTCTAGATTTATATTTATATTAAAATGAAAGCGGCCTAGTTTTTCAATGTTTTTCAATCAGCTTTCTCGGTGAAATTATCTTCGTAGAATTTATGCTCATAAATGTACATTTAATCTAATATTTTTTGCTGTTGTCATTGTTAAAATCCCATTGAATCCATAACTTGTAATTCTTTATAAAGAGGAAGAATTTATGTTAACTTTCTTATCATTTTTGTACCTAATCAGTGGTTTCAGTTTAAAAAAAAACATCAGTCATTAAAGTGAATACAATTGATAGATACAGAAATAGTAAATTCGAAAAACATCAAATCACTACATTTTTGAAATTATAGACGATTATTCAGTATGCAATAATGTTTAAAAGACACAGTCGAATAGAAAATCATTTGAATTGAAGATTCAATTCAAAATAAGTTATTATTTGTAGGAAGTTCTTAACTTCCGGTTGTATAAATTTAATCTATGGCTGTTAGATATTAATTTTACTTTGATTAAAGTAAAAAATATACAGCAAATTTTAAATATTTGCACATCATATATTTACAAAAAATTATTATAATTAATAATTATCATTATACATAAGATATATTGTATATCATATGGAATACTGTTATATAAATAGAATTAATTTACTAATAAAATACGTTATAGTTAAAAAAAATTATACTATTATGATTCTAAGAAATTTTTTATCTGATAAATTTGAACATAAAATCATTAATAGTCTTCTACATTATAAAAATTTAATAAAACATTTTTTCAAATATTGGTATCAGCTTTATCTCGATTTTAATGCACTTAAATTAATGTTTTTTTTCTAACTCAGAATAAATGATTCACCACCTTAAATTCTTCATGTTTGTTTGATCCTTCACTATACCATCATATGCACATCCTGAAAACAATTTCGAAATCATTGTTGTATATTATTTTTATTTTTTCTATCCCAAACTACTTTGAAGAAGTTTGATTACAAAACAATGTTAGAAGTTAAATAGGGTATTTTCCCATTTTTAATAAATTTTAATCATTTATAGAATTTTAAAATTTATACTCTAATGCCAACTCTAGAAAATGTTCACTTTTTAATCGATGGTTAGTAAAGACTACATTGATAAATATATATCATGAAAAATATTTCATCACATATAAATAAGTCAAATGGATAAAATGAACAAATAAAAACCTGATGGTTTTACAATTATTATTTTGCATTATAATTGTTTTAATTTATTTTATTTTTTGTCAAATAAAGCACCTCATGATTCTTAAACATATTTTACGAAAATTTCAACAAATATTCACCTCTAAACATCATTATCATCCTGTATATTACAACAGTATCTTAGTCTAATTATAATGATAAAAAATACAATTTGCACAGTTGACTAATTAAAAAAAAGTTAATTATATATTAGACTAAAATTTAATTGAAAATTTCTATGCAATCATCTCTAAGTATATAAAGATTGATTATCGAAAAAAAACAATAAATGCGCTAATCAATCTTTAAAAAATCAAGATTGTTAAATAAACAAAACAATTTTTAATCTTATTATTCACATTGGTTTTCGTAATACCGAAAAAAAATATTTTTTTAATCTTTGTGAAAAAAATAAATATCAAATATATGATGATAACTCTCCACTCAAAAAACTAATATTCTTTTCTACATTTGTTTTCTTTTTCGGTAAAGAACAATACTTAATAATCCATGTTTTAAATACATTATGCCATTATTATTTCAAGATTAAAGATATAACATATATCCAATTTATGCATAAGTTTAAGTAACTTAATTTTTTTTAATCTTACATTGGCATAGTTACTGACTTTTTTATAAAATTAATTAATCATTATGCTTGTCTCTTATCATGTTGATTTTATATATTTAGAATCATATTGAATTTTACCGTTTTAATTAAAATTCTTAGAGATTCTCTATCATACATAGTTATAGAATTATTATCGAATTAAAGTGGCCAATAAATTTTCCAATTTATATCAGAAGAATTTTGTCTAGTTTTTAATTTTAATATTGAGAGCCTTAACAAAAATTTTATCACATCTTCAAATAAGTATAATTGATAAAATATCGTGCATATGTAAAAATAAAAATCAATAATCAATAGTTGATTTAAAAATTTGCAAATAATACCATTTTTCTTCTACTGAACTAGAAAAACTTGTTAGCCAATTTTTTTGAGAGTAATCACGATAATAATAGTAATTCGGCTACATATTAATAATAATAATAATAATAATAATAATAATAATAATAATAATGTAGACCTAATCAAGTACTACATATTGAAGTACTTTATGGCATAAAATTTATGCGATACGGACAACTGTATTACTGATAACTTATTTGATAATATTGAATAATTATTACAAACAGAGCTCGTATTTATTATCCATCTGTACAATGTATATAGTTCAGTCAACATGTTTTAAAAAACAGCGTAATTTGAAAGTCCGTTGAACATTAACTGATGTTGTTCATACTGATGTCTGCCATGGCTAAAAACAATCTAATGAACAAAATTGGTTCATGTTCAACGGACTTTCATTTTAAAAAGCATATTGACTGGACTATGTATAAGAAAGTTGAATCAATTTTTTACAACCACAAAAAATTAGTAAAAATCTTGTTTTTTTTCCTCTAGCAAATTATTGTGTGACACAAAACTTGCTCGCAGTCTTACAGCTTATTAAATTGTAACAAACTAGTGAAGGCATATGCATATATAAACTGTGCGCTAACGACAGTAGAAGTATTTCATAAATTTCCATACAGTTACTTGATTTTCTTATGGAATTTTTGTACAAATTATTTGTCTTTAAAAAAAATTAATAAAATAGAGACTCAAAAAAAATATTCAAAACAAAGCTTCAATAAGTTTGTCAATAGAAATAGTTAAAAACTCAATTAACGTATGTTAAAAATGACTCTTATTGTAGAGTGCAATTATTATCAATGATCAATACATTTATTAGTAAAACATGATTGTGAAAAATAATTTTTTATAACAAACAGCCTTCAACAGTTTGTATTTCACAAACAAAACTTATTCCCAATCATTTAGTCGTCTAGCGATTTCAGTACATGATTAATATTACATTATCTCTATGATTACATCTAAAAAATATTTTATGAATTCAGTCCGTACCAAAATATTTTTGCCCAAAATGATTCGGTGCAACATTGTGGATTTCCGAGGTTAGAATTTTCATCTAAAATATAATTATAATTATGGAAACATTATTATTATAATTATGGATTTAAAAAATATATAAACATATATATAATGTTGTAGTTGCTTGAAAATTTAAAGGTCATTGAAAACCAAAAGATACAGTTATCATGGGAGTAAGAGTGGCACAAAAATAAATGAAAATTCAATGAAATAAATAATATTCACCTGAGGGAAGGCAGTGACTAGAGTTTTGGCAGCTGCTGGAGTACAAAATAAATTTGAAAGAATAATATTTTCTTCAAGAACGTGATGTTCCTTCAAAACAGCTATAGCTTTTATCACAGTATTTCCAGTGCCTGAAACGAAATTATTGCAGCATACTATTTATTTTATACGAACAAGAAGCATTAATTCAATATGCTTATGTAATTGTAATGACTGAATAATTAACTCGAATCATATCATCATTAAATCATTAATTTTTATAACATTTTATGATTTGGTAAAATATTTAATATTGTTATAGATAGTTTATAAAATATATCTCTTTTAAATACCGTGAATGTTTGTAACGGTAAATTGTTAGACAACTTTATTTTAGAATTTACTTGTTACTTAAATGACTACTTAATAAATTTACTATTCATTTGTTATGCAATCGAAAAAAATTAAGGTATTGGTTAAATTCATCGAAGCTACACCAAAAAGAGAATATAATATGGTTGTGTACTTTTGATAATCAATTCATTTAAATATTAATGTATATATAACCTTATCTATTTTTATTCTCTTTAGTTCGATAAATAAAGTTCAAATGAATTTTGATTACTTACTCATTATAGGATACATGAGCAACACCTTACGATCAGCAATATCGTCAGGGAATTTTGCGTAAACAACTTTGGCCTCGTGGGTATCTAAATCACTTTCCACTAAAATCTTGCCAATTCTTATACTGCGACAACAATCTCTCAATCCTTGTTCCATAGCTTCTCCACTTCTTACTATGGACACTCCACAATTGCCTTTTTGGTATTTTAAACCTTTGTAGCTCGCTCCAGTTGGAGTTGTGACGACTATTTTTGTAAATGGCAATTGATTTAAACTTTCTTCTATGACAAGCCTTATCTAAACAATTATAAAAACTCTGATAAGTTTTATTTCATGATTCTATGTAATTATTTATATTTATTTCTCAAGTGTTTGATGGAACCACTTGATAAATATTTTCCTAATAGTATAATTAATAATGATTAAGCATTTGTTGTGAAAATTAGTTCAATAGAAGTATCTTACCAAACGATCTGCATAAAATTTGAAGTCACTTCTTGAAGTGTTTCTGGAAATTGAAAACACCAAAAATATAATACACGATTAATACAAAAAAGTATTTTGACTACTTGATGACGATGGAGTATAAGCTCAAGGGATTTAGCATATGCATATCTACAGGAATAAAACCTCGTGCTATTTTTTACAAAGCCATACTTACTTATCGCGTAAAATTGTTTGTAGTTCTTTAACTTGGTCATTAGTCGGTAAAATTTTCAAATTTGGACCAAAATCATCAATCGAATCGTTAGTAGTGCCATTTAAAGGTAATTTTGTAGTTGTCGTTGTATCTGGAGCACCCATATTTTATTTGCTTTTTTTCTTTAATACTATGTAAAGTTCACTTTTATTCTAAACATCGAAAAGCCGACCACGAGACACTGACTAGCTTTTAACATAAAAGTCAAGCATAGAATGAACATGTAAACGATAAAGATATATCTATAGTTTAATTATTGCATACTTTTTTTGGAAAGTTTATAGGGCGACATCTTGAGTGTAGATTTTTTTACTAACAATCAAAATACAATTACTCAATTGAAAATTTAGTGTCCTGTAATTCGACCACTTGATATATTGCTTTTTGTACTTATTATAGTAAAATAAATTTCTATAGTTCCTCTACACAAAAAGATAACTTCTTTTCAAATTCGATTTTATTTTAACAAAACTATTTTAATTAATATTTATTGACCTTTTAAGCAAAGTATTTATATTGTTATATTATAAAGAACTTTTATCAATCATGCGTAGCTGTGTTTACTGCAAAAAAACATCTGTCCCTGGAGATAAACGATCTTTCCACACGTTAGTTAATATTTACTTATTTTTATACTAATAAATAACTTCATAGTTATCTATACAATTGTTATAATAAGTATATGAGTCAAATTATTGATTCTAATTTACTTAAACAATACAATTATCGAGTTGTCATCTGTTTTATAAGCTATGTTGTCTTTCCAAAATTTATTTAATATTATTATTTACATGAATAGACATATCTCTCAATTACAGTATTTTTTATCTTTTACAGATTTCCCATGAACGAAAGATTGAAATCAATATGGATAAGAAACATGGGAAAAACTAACTGGTCTCCATCAAAACATACTTTATTATGTTCTGATCATTTTACACCAAATTGCATTGATTTTCGTGATTGTAGACCTAGACTACGTAAAGGAAGTATTCCTACGATTTTCGATCACGAACTGGATATTAGCATATCTTTAATAGATAATATTATCAAAGAAAATAAAACAACTTCGCTCACTACTCAAGCTAATAGTTTACGCGTTAATACAAGTCTTACAGCTGAGGGAATAAATAAAAATTCATCATCAGTTGACCAACCTTTTTCTGAATTAGAAAGTAAGTTACAGTTTTAGTGTCACATTTTGATTAGTATTGGCTAGAATTTTGATTTTCTTTTTATTTAGATATGAAAATAGTTCAATCTCCACCACGATTAAGTAATTTAAAAAATTCAGTGTCTGATGGAAAACTTACATCAAATACAAGTATAAAAACTACAGAAGGAATTCTAAAAATAAGTCCATCTGCAATGGAGATTAAACATTGTAAAGAAACTGCAGAACATGATCATTACTACACAAATTCTCCAAGTGAAGTTCAATTAAAGTTACGTGCTACTCAACATAAGGTTATGGTACTGACAAAAGAGAAAAAAGTTTTAGCTCAAAAAGTGAAACGTATGCAAGAAACAATTAAATCCTTAAAAGAGGCAGTAAAAAAATTGCGTGCTTATAGAGGTGTTGATGATGATGATTTCTCTTCTTTTAGATAAAACAAGATATTTAACAACAATAATACTATTGATATTAATAAAATAAGTTGATATTATTGTTACATTTTATTTAAGGAAAGTCATTAGTTTGTTTTTAAATAGTATAATTTTAATTCGTTACTAATTTATCATATACACCGATGTAATAATTATGTCACGAATTACAATTATAAAATATTTACAGTTTTTAAGTACTTAATCTCCCGAATTATCAATAATTTCTGGATAATTTGGATTAATCCATCACACATGCGTGCTATAAAGGTTTTTTAAATGTAAAAGAATATACGTTGAGAGAGTTTTTAAAATGTCAAAATATTTTTGTAACAGAATAATTAGAGAGTTATTAAATACGTGTTTTATAAATATAATGGCTTATAATTTAAGGCCCAATCAATATATCATGCTTTATTTAAAAAGTTAAATCCTATCAGTTGAAGTAGAATATTATAATATATTTTTTTATCATATGAATAATTGTATCAAACAATAAAATTACTTACAAGTCTTTTAAATTAGAACTTCTTTAATTTCTTCAAATTGGTGGGAAGTCATTTAAAAATTTCCATTCTAATGGAAATACAATTTTACGTACTAATTTTATTAATAAATTATGAGAATTTTTATAAATTTTAGTATATTTATTTTTTGTTGATGTTATATTTCTATGTTATAATAATACAATAATTAAAAAATAGAATGATCTCTAAAAATCAAATTTCAAAGGTAGAATATAACATGTTATATTGAATATAATTAACTAATAATGATACATGATTTTACTATCATACTTTGATATAAATTTATGTATTTCACTACTTATTCGAAGATAATCAAAACAGTGATACAAAATATATAGTGCGAATGTATTTGCTATACACAACAAGGAGAAAGTTAATTTTGATTACGCTAACTTTTATAAAATTCTATACGAAGTAAAGTTTAAGATTAGAGTCATAGACATTCATCTATTTCTTCATTAACAAATATTTTCTACACCATTAATAAGGCTACGTTTGTTTATTTGCTTTTTTAAAATTTTTCTACTACATTAAGATATGAAAAACAAGGAAGCAATTTTTTTTGACTTAATCCATCAATTACAAATTTTAATCTTTTGAATATCAATTTGCAAATAAATTCTTATGAATCAAACAAAATTTTTAATTCGTTTGTAGCAAAAAATTCACAAAACATTTTTAAAAATGTAAAATACAATATAAACAAAATTAATACAATAATATTTATAATCGTAGAAATAAATACTAAAATAAAGATTATCAAACTATTGATCGTGATCTTCGATGTTGGTGCATCATTAAATACTGGGAAATGCCAAGTATTTTTTCATGTTTAAAGAAAAGAAGATGTAGATTAAACTACACTTCAAATGTTAATAATTACAGCCTAACCTTGTATCACATAATATTAAGAATATTGTAGAAATTCTAAAAAAAAATTACAATGTCAATATTTGATTCGAGTGAAAATATTAAATCGTGTGAAATAAGTCAGTGTTAGTTTTGATACCAGAGTTAATATATAAAATAGACAATTTATATATCATTCATAAATTATAAATTAATTTCTAGTTTTAATCTGTATATTAATTACACGGAATGTGATTAATAGTCGTTGATTAGCCAGACAAATAGAAAACATTATTGCCTTCAACTGCATTTAACATTTTTAGGCTTTGTAGAATAATTAATTAAATTATTACACTATATATATATATATATTTTTTATTGAATTATTCTCTAATATTGCTATCATTTCTTCTCATTTGAATATGGACGTTAATCTAATCGGAGTCGATTTTCCGTATTTTCTGATCACACTGATCTATAGTACTTGTATTTTTTAATTAATTAATTTATCTTTAGGTAGTATTTATATTTAAAAAAATTAAAAGTTAAGATTCTATGCTTGCATTTATTAATCATTTCAATTTTCAAATTTTAAAATTTCAAAAGATAATTCAACATACTTAAATAGACTTCTTATGCACATAAATAGAGAATATAAGTAAGCATTTGCTGTGTGTAAGATTTATTTTATTATATTTACAATAATTAGTAGCAAATGCATGCTCAGTTTATATATTCATTTATTTAAACTCCTTTGCGTATAAATTCTTCGAAAAAAATTAATCATAGTCATACTATTGTTGTTTTAATATAATTATAAATTCGAAATACTGAGTTTCATAATTGTAGTCAAGATTCAAATTGATTTCCCTCGTCATTTGTTATTCAGTCTCACGATTTAAGAGATCGTACCATTGGAGATAGAATTTAGCTTCTATTATTATTATTATTGTTGTTGTTATTGTTATTATTATTATTATTATTATTATTATTATTATTATTATTATTGTTTAATGAACTTAAAGGACTTCCAATATTATCTATTTCTCTTTGCGCCCTTGATATTTTTACTTTATCTCTCGGTGTGCCGTCTTCTCCAGTTTCCATAGCAAACATCTTCATCTTTTCTTTAAAACTTAACTTTTCTGGCACTTCACCCATTTGAGAATTCTGTTGTTGCTTTTGTTTTTCTGCTAGACGTTTTTGTCTTGGATCTCTGTTAGGACAGATTTACATTACATGATTCATTATCATAAGAAGAAATTAAGAATATAATTGATATAAAACTTACTTGTAAACTTCCTGAGCTCCGATGACGCCTGGAGTTGTTCCACTAAATTGAGTTCCAGGTCCATCCGGTGTTTTTGGAGATGCCAACAATGTTTCAGCATCATTTATGAAATTCTGTTAACATAGATATATTTTTTTATTTAATTATCAACATTCTATGTGGTTTTTGTAGAGCTTAACGATATACAAAACAAACAATTCTAACATTTATACAATTATTTTACACAATTATATCAGTCATTAAAACTATATATTCATCGAAAGTAGTTTGATATAGAAAATCTTAGTTTATATTAAATGCACACCAAATAAGTAATCAACAACTGGTTGCAAAATACTTAAAGCCAGTATAAGAAGTTGAAAAAAATATGGAACCATCAAAATTGGGATCTACAGTTTACACAAAAAACCTTTTTTTTTATTTCATGCATTATCTGGACCCACTGACTTACACCTTACTTGGACACCTGCTGATCATTTGCATATAATCATAGAAAAAATAATAAATTCATTTTTATGATTTTGAAATGATATTTCGATCCATATCAGTTCTCTGATGTGTAAAATACTTCATGTAGATTATTCTTATCATAATATTTACTACAAAAAAGTTCTGAAACTTACATTGGGATCTTCTCTGATCGTATCCATAGTAATAGACGATGTAGTATTTGGTGTAGTAGGAGTTCGTGGAATTTGCTCAATATTTGCATTAGGATCATGAAAAGATACACGTTTGATTGAAGATGATCCAATGGGGACATTCGCTGATGTAGTTGAATTATTTGATCGTAATACACTTTGTTGGGACATAACTGCATAACTAGAACCTCGTTCAGGGGGCGGCGGTGCATCACTATTGTCATTTTGTGAGGAAGGTGAACTTGGACCGTTAATAACTAAATTATCCAATCTCAACATTCCTGGATGCAAGTGTTGTTGATTTTTTATATTAGTTTGATGTTGTTGATACAACTGTTTCATCTGTTGTTGATGAATTTGTTGTTGTCTGATATCTTCTTCCCTCTTTCGGTTTTCATCATATTCTGCTCTGCGTTTATATTCTTCGATCCTTCTCTGATCCTCATTAATTTGTGGTTGGGAGTTCTTCAATTGTCCAAATGGTGGAGGATTATATGAAGGCGACATTGATGATTGTCCAGACACTGGACTTGACATTGGTTGTGAATGCATAGAGCTCTCGCTTTGTCCCGCATAATTTCCCGATCGCTGACCAGAGTTTTGATTAGTCATCGGTATGCTCGATTGTGGCAGAACTGATCCACGTATCGATTGATTATTTGTACTAGATCTTACTAGTGTACTTTGTTGATTAGGTAGGACAGTTTTATCTTGATTTGCTGCCATTCTCAGTAATCCTTGAACACGTTGAACACTTTCATTCTCTACATCATTACATTCATCGTCATCATCTTGTTGTGCCGCAGCTTCTTCAGCTCTCTTTTGAAAGTCTCTTTCTAATTGAAGTGCTCGAAGTTGCTCCTCCTGTTGCGGTGTTCTGTGTGAAAGAGAACTTAACTCAGCAATTTGTTGATCACGCCATAATTTTGCTGCTTCTCTTCGCCGAGCTTGTTCCTTCTCACGTTCTTCCCTTTGCCAAGGATTTGTGGCATTAAATTGATACTGTCGAGTTTGTTGAGTAACACCAGACGCTGGATAATAGCTACCTCTAGGAGGATCCTGCATACTTGCAGTATATCTAAAATAAAAATTGAAACATAAATCACATTTAAATTTACACTTGACAGGATTTCGATTATATGGATAAAGAAAGAGTTTTTTAAATTATAAAAAAATTATATAACGATTCAATCATTGTCTTTTATCTTACCTAGAGTCTGCTTGTTTATTATACAAAGGATGTGTCGCAGTATTAAGCGGAGGAGGTGGTGGACTCTCTCTGTAACCTTCTTCAGGAAGTAGAGGTCTCGATGGTAAAATATCACTATTATTTTCATTACTATTTTGTATTCGATTAATTGTACTTTCGTTAATTCCCTGACCATTTTTCATATCACCAGGATTGGTGGGATATTGTGAACCATTGTGAGTGCCATACTGTCTACTATAGTCAATCATTGATCGATCTGCTCCATATTCTCTTTCTACATCTGTAATCTGACCTGTACGTGCTGGGTCATTTTTCTTTGGAACAACTGCATATTGATTAATAATTTGTTGTTGTTTGTTGTATTGCCCATATTGATTATACTGTAGTTCTGAATATCCATAGTTGGGTGGAACTCTTGAATTATAATTAGGAGAGCTTGGACCAAGATTTGGTGTTGATCCTGCAGGTCTAGGAGGTCGAACTGTGTTTGCTGTTTGCGCCGCAGTCATAGGTCTTGCGTTGTAAGTATTTAGTGGTTTATACTGGTTCGGTGCTCCTCCTCTTAATTCACGACGTCTTACTTCTTCTTGCATCTCTTGTAACTTCGCTTCTTGACGAATTATATCTCGAGATGACTGTGATCTGGGAGGTGGGCCTTGTTGTATTTGATTAGCAGGGTAAGTCGATTGTTGACCTTGCGGTATATAAGCTGATATTGGACGATCTCTTGCTTGGTTCATATCAGTTATAGGACGATTTAATGAACTTTGTGATCCTCTTAAATTCTTCTGAGCATGTAATAAATTTCTAAAAAAATATACAATGTGAAAATAAAAATGTCCTCACGTTGAAGTTTAAAGTAAAAATGAAAATTTTTTTTTAAACAAAATTAAAATTTATGTAAAGAAATCATAAAAATTGAACAGAAAAAAAACAAAAAAAAAATACCTATCATCCATAGTTTGAGGTGGACTCGGCTGTTGTTTTATCATAGGATCTTGATGTCTATAAACACTCAAATTTTGATAAAATCTTTCCGCTTCATTATTCTGAAGATTACTCGTTATATTCCCATGCATTTGACTCGGAGTTAGGTTCGGCGATGACTGTTGTCGATTGACAAGTCCACTAGGTGGCAGAGTACCCATTCTAATAGGGTCATGGAGATTGTGACTTGACCGTGACCTCAGAGATGTAGCTCCATTAATAGCTGGCATTGGTGGTGGTTGAACTGGAGGCGTAACGCTGTTACTTGACGACGCTCTACTGTATCCAGGATTGAATACTTCGTGTTGCTGTTGTTGTTGATTTTGTAGCTTACCTTCTGTTCCTACGTCTATTAGATTGTGATATAGAATGTAAACATTGTTTTAAGTTTGAAAAGAGAGGACATATTTATATACTGAGAAGTAACGGTAACTTCTCCATTAAATAAATGAAAGACGTTAATGAGATGATTGATCATGTAAATAACCCGATCATGTAAATATATATTAATATTGAATGAACTGATGAAATACTCACTATGCAAGGCTGGGACAGATTTGCTGCTATGCATTTGTTGAGAAGCTGGTTCATGTCCGAGTCGTGATGGAAGATCACGTTCACTCATGCGTCGAGGTCCTATTTTAGCACAAGATGCAAAAATTTGCAAAAAAGTTAATGCTTTTTCAAGCCATAAGCCATAAAACAATACCACATAATCATGCAAAGTTTATAACAAATTCATTCTCTACTATTGTCATAACACTTAACGATTATTGTAACGAAAATTTTTGGTAAACAAGAATAATCTAACACAATAACAACTAAACAAATAATTTTAACAATTGTGGCTCGTAATTTAGGAATAAAAGGATATAGAAAGGATAACGAATAAATGCAGCTATTGAAATTATCATAATTAACATAACAAACTGATTGATAATAAAAAAATTAATGCTCAAATGAACCAGACAGTGTGCAAACAATTATAAAAATGTTTATCACATTAACTGCCAGCTTACGAGATTTTGAGTTGACTTCGAGTGGTGGAAAGTCACAGAAAATCCAATCATTTCGCTCAAATCGTGGTGTAGGTTTTTTTTTAGACACATCTAGATCACTCTTAGATATTTTTCTCAAGACTAAAGACTTCTTTTTTAATGGTTTTGATATTTTTAGATGATTTTTTATTGGAATGGTACTAAAATAATTTTCAAAATGTCTATTACAGAGTTTTTTTTCATTTAATACTTTATCCCCCAGTGAAGACGTACTTTGATTAAATTTTTGCGAAGCATTAGCTTTGTTCTTGAAGATATCAATGTCATTTTCTACACTAGAAATCTGTTCTAATGATTTACAGACAGTCTTTTTTAATTCCTGATTATTTATTTTTGTTTGTTTATTTAATTTGTCATCGCTGTTTGATATATTGCGAGTTCGAATAAATGAATTTGGAAACTTAATATTTCTCTTCTTTGGACTTTTTATTTCTATTGGACTTGTTGCTCGTTCTTGTTTGATTAAATCACTGTTTTTTACTTCATCATCTTTCTTACATAAAATAGACTCTTTCCCAACATCAACATTATTAATAGTAATTTTATTTTCCACTATGACATTATCAATGTTACATTTATCTTTACTTAAAGACTTATCATGAAATATTTCAGGTGCTGAACTTACTCTAGAACTTGTAAAAATAAAACAATTCGATAAATCTTTTGTATTATTTTCTTCGTTAACTGGTATAAGATCCTTCATTGACCAATATTTTGCTAGTTTATTGATTTTACCATTTTCCTCATCATCAGGAAATATACTCAATGGACTCGATAAACTTGGCAAAGAATGCTGCCGAAATCTTCGCATATTCATTTTGCTTAAAACAATGTTGTGGGTTTGTGGTGTGTCAACAGATTTTGTTTTACTATATGTGTTGTTATTTAATATTAAAGTTCCATCATTAAAATTAGAGAACATCTCTATTTTCTCTTCATCTCGTTGTTCTGGTATAAACAGTGGAGCATCTGCATTATCTAAATTGCAAAATTCTTCTAGTTGTTCTATAATTTTCTGCTGTTCACTTGCTGAAAGTTTTGAATTTCTTTTTTCCACTTTATTTAGTGATATATTTTGTGTTTTTTTATTCTCTACATTAACTTCAATAATATGGTCATTATTCTCAGCTGACGCTGAGCATACAAAATTTTGTGTTTCTGAGTCAGTTTTTGCTTGAATATCTAAAAGAATCATGCTCCATTCTTTTTCTGGTGTTGTTATTACACTTTTATCAACTTTACTTAAATCCGTATCTGATTTAAATTCTTTTACAGATGATTTTCTAGTGTCTCTCAAATCCCATTCCCGTGGAGATGTCATATCGGGTTCAGAAACAAATTGACGAGATGAATTTAATTTTATAGATTTAAATTTAATTAATCCAGCTTCACCGAGTTTTGAAAAATGTTTTGCCAATGCAGCAACTCTTCCACAACCTAAACGAATTTCCTCTGGTGATTTCCAGCACTTTTCTGGGCTTGATTCTTCACTAGATACATCACTATTTAATCCACTAAGATCCAAATTAAGCTCTGGCATTATTGTATGCATTTTAGGCGTTGGTATTGTACTGTAATCTTCTTCATTTTTAATTGGAATATTTTCAGAACTTGTATCACTAACAATATCTGATTCCGTCTCTATACAACTAAGTTCTTTAAACTCTCTAGGTACATCAACTAAAATATTTTCCTCAGAATGAGTCACATGAGCACAACAATAATTAGAAATAAATTTCTTCTTCTGTGTTGCATTTGATTTCGATTCTAGAGGACAATTTTCTGATATATTTAAATCTTTCTTTTCATGTTTATTAAAATAGGTACTGTTTTCATTTTCTACAGACTTTGATTGGTCCCTTTGGTGTTCATTAATTTCGGATTGATTAGTTGTAATTATTTCTTCAAGATTTTCTACTTCTTTCATACTATCATCAACTTGATCAATATAAGGAATAGATTCGTTACAACAACAAAAAGATTGTGGACGATTATTCGTGATTTCCTGTTCATTGACTACACTTTGATCATCTTGAGGCTGATATCTGTACTGTATATCATCATTATCGACACTAATTGTAATGATAGGAGGCGGAGGAAGTTGAGGATAAGGTGGATATTGTTGAGTAGTATTAGGTATAGTGAGAAAAATTTGATTAGGTTCCTGAATAATAGGAATCGGACGTTTGGCCCAACAACTAGATTTTGGCCGTAAAAATTCTTCATCGATTGGAGATTCATCAATAGGATACATAGGAAGACAAGAGTTACTTTGACGATTCATAGCTAGTGGTTGAGATAAACCAGTACCCATAGAATGTGACCCAACACCTGAATAATATACATGACGCGGAGATTCATAGTATTGAAAATACGATGGTTTAGAAGTTGTTACTTGATGAGAAATTGTCGCACCTGGTTGAACGCGTTCACTGTAGTCCCAATCAACCAAACGTTCTTGATAACCCGTTTGCTTTGATCCCGATAATAAATTATCCATCGAATAAGACGTCGATGGTTGTGCTGCGTCGCCTACTCGCGACTGTTCTAATAGTTCAGATTTTGGTCGAGCCTTATGTGCTGCTTAGGAAAAATTAGTAAAGCATTAGTAAAGCATTGCTATGTTAATAAGCTTATTTAAATGAATTTAATGAATGCTCATTAATGCTTTTAATTCATGATTATTGAAGATGGAAATAGAAAGCTTTCTATGATACATGAATTCACTAAACAGGTTTGAGGAAAAAAATATTCCGAATATTATTGAATTTTTAAAATATTAAAGTTAAGCTAATAATAATTTTAAATGGTAAAATTAAAAATGATAAGTATCATTTTTCATATTATCACTTAAATAACTGCTTAATAATATCTTTTGTTTGCATAATATTACAATCTCTCAAACCTGTGTTTCTTTTCAGAAAAATGAAAATCAAACGAGGAAAAATGAAATATTTTTTGCATTGTTACGTATGTAGGTCAATGATTTTATGAAATGAATTCATCATAAAGATATTTAAATATTATTTACAAAAATTAGAAACCGTTGTTAGCTTAATTGAAATTAATGATGAAGATAATTATGAGCGAGTACTAAAAGTGCACTAATGGCGTCACAATTTTATATGATAAATTATCGGAAATTAAGTTAGATGAAATGCTTAATTTTTTAATGAAAATATTTAGTTGATAGTATTTTTTTCGTTACCTCTCGTCATAACAGGCGATGGTTGAGAAAGTAGGGTAGCTAAACCGTGATATATGGCACCCTGTTTTGCTACTTCTAGTGTCACAATAGGACCGGTTCGAACCAGGTACTCTGCCGCTCTATAAATGTCGCATCGATAAAATTGCATTATAGTTATACATTATGCGATAATAATATTTAAAAATTTACTCTACTTACTTTTCTTGAGTTATGCCTACTAGACTTTGACCATCAACTTTAAGTAATTGATCACCTGCTGTTAATCGACCATCCTACAGAATTAATTTTATAATCGTCATTATTATTTTTAGATCATGATGTATAATGATTATAATTTAATAAGTGATATAAATTTTTTTTATTTCTAAAAGTAACAGACAGTCTTTTTTTTTACTTACAGCATCGGCAGCTCCACCTGCTACAACACTTTTGATGTAAATACCCAAGCGATCTTGACCAGCTCCCTGTACACACAATAACTTTAATGAATATACTCACTGACCGAGAAAAAGTAACTGTAACAGTTGTGAATTAAGAATAAGGAAAAACAATTTAATAAGGGGAGTTTAAACTTAAGTATGTAAAATGCATTTAGCGTTACAAGAATTTCTATGGACTACTAGCTACATGACTGAAATTAAAGTTAATTTTTTCACTTTTTCTATTTTAATCAAGAGCGCGTAAAAAATATGTTAATGTCTGTTTAAAAAAAATAAAGTTGAAAGTGAGGATTTATAATGAATTCATGTAGTTGTTAATTTTGATTATTTTTTTAATTTAATAAACTTATCAGAGCGAAAAAGAAAAAAAAATTTTTTTACCTTCGCTGCAACAATACTCAAACCCATCCCGTTCGTCGATTTATGCAACTTGATAATTTGAATTTCCGGTTGACTATGGCTTTGTACCATATGACCTGAATAACCGCCAGAACGGTTGCTCATGGCACTTGGACTGCGGAACTTTAAAGAAAAAATATCAAATAAATTGATAAAGGTCAATTTTTCGCATTGTTTATTTCTTAAATCTTTGATCTTCCACAAAGTTTCAATTTTAAAAAAATCCATCTCTATATTATTTATTGACCTTGATATAAATACATAAACACAATAAAATGAATTGATTGAATGAAAAAACTTACATTATTATGATGATCAATCATGTATATCGTCCAATATCCACTACTTGTAGGCTGTGGCGCCATTCTGCATAAACCATCAAGTTGAAGTGGAGCAAGAAATTCTTCAAGACCTGGTGGCACACCTCTGATAACTTCACAACTGTAACCGTCTTCAGGCAACAGGAGCGCTAGTGCTAAGGTTGGTTCCTCTTCTAATCTTATCTCCCTTCCATCAGCTCTGGCAAGTGTATCCGCTACATTTTCAATAACTCTTACAACATTTTCAATTAATTCTGTGGTCAATCTTGGTTCATCAGCTGCCGGTTGGTATTTTTGTAGAAGAGCTCGCACTTGTAAAGAGTTCAATTTGAAACAAGTTGAACTTAAAGTTGCAAGCTCTTCAGTATTATATTTGGGTGCTTGGAGTAAATGTGTTGCTTGCATTATCGTTGCAAGATGACATTGACTTGCAAGCTCAAGACCTTGTCTCTCTGCCCAGGTCTCTAAAGCATTCAAACGAGCCTTAAGTCTACGTCCAAACCATCGAACGCACAGATTTCCATTTGATACTAATGTATTAAAGGCTGTAGCGTTTATCGCATGGAATAAATGACTGAACAGTTGAATAGTCAAAGCTGCATTAACCCTGAAGCGACGTAACAAGGTCATCGTATTCGAAAATATTTGTAACACTCCGGCTTCTTTAGCTGGTTCATCAGCGTCTGCCATAAATTGTGACATTGCTGGAGCCAATTCTAATGATACGCAACGAACTAAAGATGCAAATGCTGTTTGAACTGCATCAGCCAAAATATCTTGCGCACGAGTTGAAAAAGCACCAACGTGTCGATCACTTTTTAACATATGAAGCAATTCTGAGCCATTGGCTAGCCAAAGAGCAAGAGATGATGCATCCATATATCTCTGTTGTATGACTTGTTGAATCATTGTAGCAACATTTGCTAACATTACTGTTAATCTGTGAGCTCGCTCCGTTGGTTGTAATTCCGGTCTATAATGTGTACTTGCTCTGTATCTCGCAGCAAGATAAAGAGTGTATGTTGGTGCTAATTTAAATTGTGGAGCTGATGGGTCGACGTCAGATATAACCGCGTGAAAAAACGTTTCCTCTGTTTCTTCTAAAAACTCTAAAACTGCTGGTAATATTGGATCTGTTCCTCGAGGTTGACGATCATATTGTTGAGAAAATCTAGACACAAAATTTAAAAAATTAGTACTTTTTGACTTCTAATTAATTTTTTACAATGATTTTTTTTTATGAGAAGTGATATCATAATAAGCATTAAACATCTATTAACATTGATTATAATAAAAAAATAAATTAAAAAAGCAACTACATAACTACATACCTATTTCCATCTTTACTACTGGTTAGACTTGCCGTCTCTACGTTTCCATCTAAATCAAAGGTAGTTTCATAATTGTGAGTGCCTTCAGAAGTTGGTGCACTATGTGTAGTACTTCTAGGACTTGCAGCTGCTGCTTGAGATTTAGATGGACTTGATGGACTTGAATCTGGTCCATCATTTGGTGTACCTGAGCTTGATCGAAACTTTTCCGAACTGACATCTTGACTATTTGTATCTGGTGAACGTCTATATTACGAACAATGTGCGAGATACATCAAGCAAAACAAAAAAAACAGAATAAGTAATAAAAAATGATATCTAGCTAATTTTTCAATTTTAAAAATTGGCTAATTGAAGCATTCAACTAATTGAAATAACAAGCAGTAATAAATATATCAATTTCGTGCAGTAATATTATTTCTTAACAAACAACAAATAAAAAAGTGAGATTGACTTAATGTTAAAAACTTTAAATAATATTTAATTAACATTTATATAACTAATCGAGAAAATTTGCACTAGATCTACGTTTTACTTATTTTTTCCTTAATTTTTTATCAAATTTTTTTTAAATGTGTAGAATAAGCTGATTAAAAAAATGAACCCAAAATTGAAAAAAAAGAAGAGCCAAACATCGATCTAGCACATATTGACTCAACTGAATTCTAAAATCATTCTAAGATCATGAGAAAATGTTTAATCATTTCTGAAGGATAAAAATTCATTTAACTTTGATTTATAATAACATATTTCATTCTTTCATGATTTTTGGCAATTTCTATTCAAACTTTGACAATCAATAATGTCATATTACCTGTCATATGAGTATTCTATTGGTCTATGAGAGTCATGACGTTGTCTAATACGATCTTCTGGTGCTGGATCAATGAATCGGAAGGTGTGCATTCGTCCAAACTTAATTATGGCCCCATTCTATAAATAATTATTAAATAATGTCAAAATTTGATATTTAAACTATAGAAAAAAAGAACAACTAATTCTCTAAAAATAAAATAATAATATAGATTCTATTGAACTTTTCAGAACTCTAAATACATTTTGTATGACTAGACAGTCTGGAAGTAATGTAAAGACTAGGAGATAAATTGCAGTAACTAAAACAATATTGAAAAATAAATGTAATGAGTTATAAAAAGACTAGTCATAGTTTATGTCCTTGACGACACGTTTGAGATCAATAATAAGAATGTCAGTGAACTTGGTCTACTTGTTATTACCTGTAATATTGTAGTTTGATGGATTCGCTGATTGTTTACATAAGTATGAGCGTCTCTTGAGCAAGGAGTAAGTGTAACAATATTCTCAGTAAAAGCAATCACACAGTGACGAGGCATCACAGTTGGACCAGAAAGTGTTAAAGTCTGTGCCTGGACAGCTTGTGTTCCTATAGGTCTTTCCGAACCAACTTCTGTGACATTTGGCTGAAGACGATGCCTTACTCCTGCTCCATTTGGGATGTCTGTTCCGTCAGGATTAAGTTCCAATAAAAATGGTAGCCTCTCATCTTCGTATCGGTGTTCCAATTCATTCCATTTGCCTGTGGGTTTCTTTTTTCTTTTTCTTGGTACATAGTCAGCTGGACGTCTCCTCACGTGGAACATTATTGAACCTGGAAACATCAAAATAATTGATGGATTAGCAAAAGAAAAATTTAAACTAATTTAATTTATTGATGACATTTTTCAAGAAATTATAGTTTCATTTTTTTAAAAAAAAAAAGAATTATTGATGGACAATTGATCATTCAAGTGAATAAATCGGATGTGCTCTCATAAGTTATTTAAAAACCTTTTATTCATTGTTATAATCGTATAAAAATCACCAGACTTAAGGTTATTCGCCTGATTGCAAGCTTCGATGATTTGCAATGGCTCTTGCTTACACTAATCACAATTAATGACCTGCTCTTCGATTTTCAAAGGCATAGAAGTATTTTGTAAGACACGCGAGACAACGCAAATGACATTTCAACCGTAAATTGTACGGTTTAGTGGGAATACCTAAATTATCAACCAAGTGAAAAGGCGTTTAAGACGATTCAAGAAATCGCATAGAGTAATTTCAAGTTAATTGCAATGATATTTATTTCAATTGGTTGATTTATCGTATTCCACTGAATGAAAATCTTATAAAAAATTTGTTGGTGATTGATAGGAAAAGTTGGTGAGAAATAAACTGTCATTGACGAGAATCTACAGGAAGTACGATTGACTTTTACAAGTTCCAAACTATATTTTATCTGAACTTGACGCACTTTCTGAGTAAACTCAAGTGACATTTTGAATTGATTTGCAACAAATAATTTAAAATTATAGCCTAATTAATTTTTTCTCCTTTCTTAGATTCTTCAATTAGAGTTTTTATCATTTAACTTTTTATCTTTATTTCTATTTAATCAAGTAATTTACATGTAAGTTAGAGTATTTTTTTCTTGTTTACAAATTGAAGAGTAATTTTTAAAATAAGGTAAAAAAATAAAATAAATCTCACTCGTAATGTTACCGCAGCAGATTTTCTTCTGCCACCTCATGCTCCTGTCAATTATTTTCAGTCAAATATTTATCCAACAAATAATTAAAACTGATCACAACAATATTATCTCATTAAATCATTGCACAAACAAAACTTTTTTAATAACAACCGACTTATTTTGAACGTTATAAACTTGACGACTTGTGTACTTTGCTTTCCACTTCGGTTCTAGTCGAGTGTGAGAGACTTCTTAGCGTAGCGCAACCCCAGGATGTACAGACGTAACTCTAGCGTGACGTGAAATAGCTTCTACTCTCTTTTGCGTTAAATACATGAGACATAAGGTAAATGAATGTACAGGTGTAACGTAAAACAAAGTGAAACGTATGTGTGTGTAAATGCAGGCGGAGGAATGACTGCAGTGAGACCTCAGTCACCGGAAACTTATTGATATAATTGGAACGCCTCATACCTCCGTGAAGGTTGTCTGTTACACATCAAGAGTTCAGGATAAAACACTAGAAATATTCTTTCCCACGTATTCAATTTGACTATTAATGTATTTATTAACTGTTAAATCATTTTTTAGATAAATAGAAAAAATGATGTCATTGATGTCATTGAAGAAACTCTTTCGGTAATTTTAATTAATAGGATTGAAGCTTAATGAAAGTCTTTTCAAGTGAAATAAGTATAATTGAAAGTTCAATTGACTGCTATAAAACTGCTCTTTATTTTAGATTGTTTTTTTTTTGTTATAATTTTCAAGCTGATGATTCTCTACTTTTTTTCAAGATCTACTTAATGAATCAATTTTTAATCATTTGTAGAGCTTGCATTAACACTTAATAAAAGCTCTTTAGAAACATTGTTTGCATTTTAGAATTCATTTATTGGATGTAGATTGGAAATAAAAATATTACTGGGAAAAAAGAATTCAAAAGAAAGCATGAAAAACTATCTCTTTATAAGATAAAATAACACTAGCTTGAATAAATGACAATATTGCTTTTTCGTGAACACGTAATGTTCAATGGCCCGCTAAATTTAATTGCAAACTATATACTACATTGGACAGTTAACAGCAATTTAACGATACATGAAAGAAATTTATTCAAATATTTATCCAAATGTATTTGTGTTATATAAAAAGACCAGAATTAGAGAATAAAAAATATATTCCCATAATCTAATGTAACAAAATAATTATAATCCAATTTATAGACGTGTTTTCTGAAAATGGACTTTTATGACAGTTTAATTAATTGTTAACAAATCTCTTGTTGAAATATAAATTATTTAAGTAATTATTTTATCAAACAAATCAATCATTCGGCAGCTTTATTTACTCCAATCTATTATTAGTAACAGATAGTAAACTGTATCCTTAAATTAAATAAAGTTTTTATGGAAATAATTAGTTTAAGGTTGAGAAAGTAGAAGATTAATGAAGAATATAAATTATCTAAGAGCATGGATGTATTCTTAATATTTGATAGAATTGATTATTTAATTAAATTAATAATTAAAATTAAGAGTTAGTAAAATTTGCTGTTAATTAGTTGAAACATAAACTGACAGTGACGTCAAATATAAATGAAATACCTACATGATAGAAAGTTTCATTACAATTTAAAACTTAAAATTCCCAGAGTATCACTGTGGTTTGACATTTTGCACGTGTAATATTCTATTCTAGGTCACTTCAGCCAAGATTATTTACTAGTAATTCGAATCACACATCTCAAGTGTTCGGGACATTACTTTTCTTATTCCAGCACAAAAGATGATAAATCTATTTCCATAAAAAGAAAATTTTTGCCTCCATCTCGTTAATAATAAAATAAATTGAATCTACATTGAAAATTTTTTTGATTTATATTTCTAGACTACTTTGATCTTTTTTTTTGGTAATTTAAAAAAATCGACCCAACAGAAGGTTATTCCAGTGACAGGTTTATTATATTTGTTTATTTTTGAGTGTATTAAAATCTACATTTTAATAGCTTATCAAATTTTATGTTTCATTCTTTGGAATTTTTATCACTATTTTTTGTTGAATTCTCTGGAAGTGGAAATTATCACAATTTCTCTCGATACAATTTTTTTTACAAACAAATATAACATATCAATTATCGTTTTATTTTTATTTAAATTGTTTTTTTTAATTGAAAACCACTATAAAAATATGATTTTTTTTTTTCATTTTTTAATAAAAAATTATTAATTAATTTTATTTAAACGAGTATATAATAGTAAAATCATTCAATAGATGTAATTTTTTACCTTCTATTTATTATCAACAACATGAAGAAATAAAATTCTTTCATTATGTATATTCTATATTGATATGTTCAAATTAAAAAAAAAAAAAAAGTAGGAGTATTGAATTATTTTATATATTGATGCATTTTGATTGCTAAGCTTATGACAAATAATTTTAACGTAGGGTATATTGACGTACACACAGACCGATACTTATCTTTCCATAATAAAATGCCTTCACGTGTATAACCGCGCTTATATTTGTCCTTGTCAAGGCATACATAAAAAATAATGTGTGCACCAAAATTGGTTTTTAACTGTCAAGTAATCATATATCAAATGATTACTTAGTATTTCCAAGTCATTCTCACTCATATCTCATTTGCTTCTCAATTAAAAACAGTTTTGGATAAGTGTTCATTTATAATAATTGTTTATAAAGCTTTTATTAATATTGATATAATTTTAAATTCGTGGAAAATATTACTAATTTCCTTCCTCAATTACTCTAATGACACCAATAAATATAATAAGTTTTTTGTTTCTTTTGAAATAATTGATTCAATTAATTCGTACATGCAATGTATAAATAATTAACTAAAATAAATAAAAAAAGAATTAAGCCATAATATGTATAAAGAATCATTTTATAATTAAAATTCAATATATATATATATATAATTTTGATGATAAAATTGACTTCTAGAAGTTGTTTGAATGGTTTTTTCATGTTGATTCCTCTTATATCAATTAAACTCATTCTTGAGAGATCAACATCAACCCATTTATAAAGCAAAATAATTTGCAGTGGTGGTAGAGATGGTGAATCATCAAGCCACTACATACGATATGAATTGTACTCGTAGAAAGGTTTGAGCGATTGAAGTTCCTTCGTTTACTCGATAGAAGTTAAGTAGTACGCTTAGTGAGTAAAAGAAGAAGGGAAAGGAAAGAAAAAAGAGAAGATACCATGAGGTCACCGCTCTAGAGAGTCATTGCACCTGCTGACTTTATCCTAAGGGCCTTCTATTATCACTTTTCATAGTAGTAGGATTAGCAATCTCTTTTGTTTTTCACTGTTCATTTCATTTGCTATATTATAATGATAGGAGAGCTTTTTTTATCAATTCAATTAATTTTATTCTTCAGCTGAGAGCTTTTAATACTTGAGAGAAACAAAAAATGAAAAATAAACTAACTAAAACCTAGAAAAACATTTCGAATTTGAAGGATCTTATTTACTTATCATTTTCTCAATATAAGCGATTACATGAATGAGTTTAATAATAAAGAATAGAAAAATAAATATTAAAAAAGTTAAAAATATTCTTAATGTTAAAAAATAGAATTTATTTTTTTTTTGTTTAATTTGTATGATTCAAAATTATCATTGGGGTTTTACGTAAATATTCCTGCTGTTAAAATGGCTCTTATTTTTGAAAACATTTCTTCTCTAATTTCAAGAATTTGTATGTTGGTTTCAAATAATAAGTTAAAAGCTTATAAGTACTTGGACATGTTTTAATCACAACCACAAACCTTTTTTTTTTAAAAAAAAAGATCGTTTACTTATTTTTCTGATGAAGTTTAAAAGTTTGTGCTTTCGACGTCATTTTGAACTTGTAACAAATATCTTGCAATTTTTTGCATTGAGTTATATACTTGTTTGAAGCTAAAACCATCTTTTCAGCTTTATGATTCGATTACTCAAGAATGAAGTAACATGGTATTTTTTGAAAAAAGATTTCTACCTAAAAGTATACATTTCTATCTAAACACTTTTTTGAGATTTTTTACTTTAATTATTCTCTGGGGAGCGTCAGTTTAATAAAATACTGCTGAGTTTATCCTTAAATTGTCCTCAGTCTTGAT